CCTCCCCCCTTCCATCAGGCTCCCTGCTGAGCAGGGAGCTTGCTTCTCCCTCTTCCTCTGCCCCTCCCCCTGCTCGTGCTGTCTCTTGCTCTCTCTCTATCTCAAATAAATAAAATCTTAAAAAGATATATTTGTACTATTCAGAGTATATACCTCTATAGATCATGACATGGCATACTCATAAAATTTGCTAATCTGTTACAGAATACTGGTGTATGACTGATGATTCATAATTATCTACTTCCTAGTTTTCTCTGTAAAACAAAGCTGGCGAAAGGCTAAAAATTATAATCAGCATATGAAAATAAAACAACTACTACAAACAATAAGGCGAAGTGAAACATCTTTGCATACAAAGAATTTGAGGAAAATAGCATGTTTCACATGAAAAGTATGCAAAGAATGTAGGATTTGTTTTTGTTAAGGAAAGAAGGATAGTAATGTTATCCTAGGGTTACATTTTCAAAGAGGGAAAGTATAGGACAAGAACCTGAATGGATATAGGAAGTTGTAGGTCAAAGCTGGCTAAGATTAAATGGATTTATATATCAAGTTTTTGAAATGAGCTTTACTATCAATAACATCCTAATGTAAAACTAGAGTTTGGTTTTCTCTCTGCTAAAGCAACAAAACTTCTTGGATTACTGGTCTGCTTTTAACAAGAGATTATGAAAGGTTTTTCTTTACCCTCTGAGTAATCTTCACCAACCTTTCCCTTTTGTGGAAACAAAGATTCTCTCCCATCAAAATAATTTCCTGTGTTTCATGTCGTCATTACCATGTCCTTGTTTACATAAGATAATCTAGTCTTCTCACTGGCAAAAGAGCCAGGTTGTTGTTTTTTTTTAAACAATCATGTTATCTCCTATGTTTACTTATGAATTCTTTTATTGTCACTTAGGTCAGGTAAATAACCAAAAAACTGTTTCACAGTGAACTGGGATCCTATTTAGCCAAGCGTTCACACCTTTCGATATTTTTGACAACTCTGCCTTCCCCAAATCAAATCCTAAATGAAGTTATTTTCTTGATTTCAAACTGGCTTTGGGATTTCCCAGAGGGCCTCTGGAAGATCTCAAAGGGTTTGTTTTTTCAGCTCATAAAAGAGATGAGTTAAACAATACTGTTTTAATCGACACGCTGGATTTCATGAAAGTCATTGTCAAATTAAGACATGCTGCTTAACTTTCCAAAAGTAATATTTGTGAGTTGATGTTATTAATATCAGGATGTCAGAATTTACATAAAGCTCCTGTAAATTTGTGAGTGCCCTCACTGACCATGCAATATTCTGGTATATTGTTATCAGTCATCATTCCAGTTAATACTTTAAATGGTGTGTATGTTACAGAAACAATCAAGTTTCCTTGTCAATTGTGTTATTTTTATAAGGGACTCCCACCAAATCTTTAACTCCTGGCCATTTTAAGTCTTTGTTACCCACAGATAGTTTTTGTTTTGCTCTGATTCTTCTTCAAAAGCATTTGCAATCAGCTACAGGCCAGAGTGCTTCGTCTTCAACAGAAAGAGACTATCTCCGAGACCCATGGAAAGGACTATGACAGGTACCTGGGGTACAGACTTCCAATGGCCTTGCTTCAATAACTCTTGAGATCATCCCATGGGACTTAGTAAGGTGCTTCAGAACTCTAGTGGAGAAACCTATGGGCTTGTGAAACTAGACAAGAATTAACTAAACAGAACTGGATGAACTGATAAAAGATGATTATAATTTTATATGGCTTTTGTCTGGAATATTCTTGGCTTGTTAGTGTTTTATTTTCTGGATATAAAAAAGCACCCTTTCTTTTTTTCTCTTAAGCTATCTGTGAGTCATTCGACTCTAGCAAGTTATACTTTTGTAAACAAAACTGAAGCATTTATCTTCTCCCTGCTTGATTCCTCCAAAAATTGGAAACTATTGTTGAGTATTCTTATTTTCATGGCAATATAGTTTTTTGCATAGGTTCAATAAGAATCTGTCCTCTTTGCAATAGGACATAATTTTAAAGCGTTGGTTATATAACCAAGGAATGTCATATTTGAAAATGATGCATGGTATCAGACATGACCAGGTTTTGAGGAACTGTAGTCGACTTTACAAGGAGCAATGCTTACAAAGCCCTCTCGAAAAAACCAGCCTGGTACTTGGCTTACAGAGATTCCCAGCCTTACAGGTGAGTAAGGAAGGTCACTTCCTGGCAGATCCAGGAACCCTAAGATATTTGGGGGACCTTGAGAAGAGTGGAATTCACCCAAATCTACAGGTGAAGTCTGATGGTAAGTTCTTGCTTTGGCTTCCTAGTCTTGAAAGGCTTTTAAAATTCCAATCTGAGATTCCCCATAAAAAGCTCCACAAAGCAAACTTAACAAGGTCTATGTGGTCAACTGCCATTTTTGCTGCACTTATGTAAATAATCAGGCCAAATTTAATGAGACCAGAATTATTTTGTAAACAAGAATAATCTTCCTTTGACTGTCTTTTTTTAAAAAAAGATTTACTATTTATTTGAAAGAGAAAGTGTCTGAGCACGCACAAGGGGGGCTTGGAGGCAGAGGAGGGGGCGGGAGAGAGAGAGAAGTAGACTCCCCGCTGAGCATGGAGCCCGACACCGGGCTGGATCCCACAACCTGGAGATCACGACCTGGGACGAAATCAAGAGTCGGACACTTAACTGAGCCATCCAGACGCCCCTTCCTCTGATTATCTTTGATCAAAAAGGGAGATCGCTCTAGAGGGAAATGTTTTGTCTCAATGGGGAAAAATAATACACCCTTGTGGGTTATCAGATTCTAACCCTGTTTATAGTGTTCGAGGTTTTACTATTACTACCTGTGACTGGTACTGCCATCCTGCCATCTTACACGTTTTGTCAGCCCTTACCAAACCCTCAGTTCTTCTAGTTTCCTTCAGTATCTGGCTACAACTCTCCAAACTGATGTTTCCAATTTTTCCTCCTTCCCTCCTCACTTGGCATCACTGAGAACGAAAATCTGACTACCCAGACCCTTCCTGGGACTCCAGTTATCTTGTTGCTGCCCCTTTTCCTCCAGGATCTGAAAAAGCCCTGCATGAACTTGATAAAACCTTCAAGGAGATCATCATCGCAACAAATTGTGTGTGCCCGCCTTCATTCCTGGAACTGCGGCTGCATGGGCCACTGCCAGCCCATGGGAACTCCCACATCTTCCATGTTCTGCTCTGGGAAGTAACCTTGACTGTGACACTTATGTCTATACTATCACCACAAACACTCAAACTACAAACTGGGAAATCCACTGGATTGGCCCTTACCCCATAACCTAGAGATGTTTACATGTCAATGTCTAAACTCGTCCCAGCTGGCCACCTGTAGGGATCAAAAACCAGGTTTACGTTCAGCTCTGACCATTAATCTTCACTTTCCTTTCTGTTTCCATAGTAAGGTCCCTCATTATATGCCTGATCACTGGAATCATCCAGCAAATATCTTCTACTACCAAGTCCCAACAGTTGGTTCAACAAAAGGTGATCAAATGGAAAACAGGCTTATATTATTCAGCAGACAGAACACCTCTTCTTTCCTTCAACAAGAGGGGCACCTGCCAAAGATTCTCTCCTTGACCATACTCTATCGAGGCTCCTCTGATAGATCCTCCTTGAGAATTCTCAATTAGGTCTCAACCTTGGCCTATAAAGACTTGAACAAATACTAGTGTCTAACAGCTCAAGGCTGCATCCTTAGGATGACTTTAGCCTCCTTAAGGTGCATGACAGAGAAAACTCAAGGGTTCCAAAAGAAATGACTGTTTCAGCCAATACCTGAGGATAGGGCTTCATCTCCCAGCCTCTGTAGAAGCAGGGAAGCCTAACTTCCATAAGCATCACTTAGCATATCCAGATGGGTGTCACATGGACAAACCACCTCTTCCCACTTTTGTAATTTCTCACTTCCGTGACTCACTCAAGTCCTGTCATTCCCATCCCTCCACACACTCACTCTCCTTTTAAAAGTGCCCCTGAACAAATCCGAATGGAACTCAGCTCTTGACCGGTAAGTCAGGTCCAATCTGGGGTGACTTTCTCTTTCTCAACATTCTCACATGGGTATGAGGCCACACCACCCAGACCCAATCTGGTCACTTTCCTTTCTGGTGTGGCAGCCATTCCCCTGAAAGGAAAAGCCTGGCAGTACCCCAAGTTTTCTCCTGGAAAACTTTCCCTTTCCAGGGGAAAACTTGTTGGAAAGATCACTGAGCCCCTTGGGGCCTGGATGCCCACAATTCTCCCACTCCCAAGCGTCTGATCCCCGCTCAAAGACCAAGTGTGACCCTCCCTTAGCGAGTCAGGCCCTGACCCTGAACGCCCATCAAGTCAAAGCCCTCCCCAGGAGACAGCCCCACCTTAGGGTATGGCTCCCCACAGGAGGCTGGATCCCTTATCCTTGTCCAGAACCCTATCCGCAAGTCGGATCTTCCCACTCCAACACAGATCTCCCACTTCCTCAACCCAGTCTGGTATCCCAGCCCCTTGTTTTCTGTCCAGAGACTCCCACCCAAGGTCGGATCCTTTCACACGGGTTCTAATTTCCCACCCCGTATCCGCAGCTCCTCGCCCTAGGACAGATCCCCAGATCCCCCACCCCGGATCAGATCCGCCCCAGGTCGGGAGACTCCCCCCACCCCGGATCAGATCCACCCCAGGTCGGGAGACCCCCACCCCGGATCAGATCCACCCTAGGTCCGCAGACTCCCACCCCGATCAGATGCACCCCAGGTCCGGAGGACCCCCCCCCCGGATCAGATCTAACCCAAGTTCGGAGACCCACCCACCCACCCCGGATCAGATCCACCCCAGGCCCGGAGACCCCCACCCCAGGCCGGATCTCCGCGACCCGCCTGCGCTCTCACCTCGCACTCGGCGGCGGCGTCCTTGGTCTGGAGGACCCGCCCAGGGCCAGCGCAGGCAGCGCGGCGGACAGCCCCGGGCTCAGGAGAGGCCCCGCGCGGCGAGGGTTGCGATGGCGGCTGCGCTGCGGGGACCCGGCGGGCGCTTCCGGTGGCGGACCTGGGCGGCGGCGGCGGCGGCGGCGGCGGCGGCGGGCGGGGTGCGGGGCGCGGCGCGGAGCGCAGCAGGTAGGGCGGGGCGGGGAGGGGGGCTCTCTGCGCGGGGTGGGGGGTCCCCGCCAGGGGTTGTCCACGTGGGGGTGTCCCCGCGGGCAGCACTTGGCTGGGACGGCCGTCTGCCGGCTTCCACCCACCCCTAGCCCCCTTTCCAGATGCGGAAAGAGCTGCGAGACCCCGCCGGAGGTTCGGCCGGGGGGGGGGATGATCTGTGCTCGCTGCCCCAGCCCCCGGCCCAATATTAACTATAGTCCTGATGATGGGGGTGGTGGCTCACCTCCTGAGGTTACCAGATGCCACCACCTGCAGACCCCACTAGTCAGACCTGGCCACCTCCTCCCCGCGACCCCAGTGGGCACACACAGCAGGTGCTCAGCACATGCACTGCATGGACTCTCTGAGGGGACACTTGTAAACTGATGGGCAGTGAGCACTGCCTGTTTGTAGGGCTTCGCAGGTGCCCCGAGGCAGGGGACAGCACCCGGGCTTGTCCTCCTGGAGCCACCAAGGCTCACCAACCAAACCAGGCACAGGGGGTGGTGCCAGGCTCTGGAACAGGGACTGGGCGCTGGGTCATATGCCCAACCGTGCAGGACGTGCTCCCCACCACATGCCTGCTCGGTGACCGACCCCTACCCCTTGCCCCTGGATGACTCCCCATGGGGCGGGAGTGTTGGGGGGCCTGAGAAAGGGAAGAACGAGGCCTCCGTCATGGAGATGGTGGCTGTGAGGGGAGTGGCAGGGCGCTTGGCCAGCAGTGGAATGAAGCTGACAGTGGATGTGGAAGGGCAAAGCTGTGTGCTGCTGTGGCCTTGGGGAGCCTCGGGCCTGCAGAGTCCTGGGAAATGGGGAGATAGGGTTGCCCTTAGGGCAGCTTTGCTGACTCCTGGGACCTTGGCCAAGGCACCCAGTCTTTGAAAGCATCCTTGCTGCATGAGTCAGGTGGGACGTTCGTGAGGGTAAATGCAGCGGTGCGGTGGGGCCCTCACCCCATCTGATGCAAGTAAAAGATGATGCTGCTGCCATTACAAGTCCAGGGCCCTTCAGGCCACTGTAACCTTGGCCTTGCAGCAGAGCAGGATGGCTTTGGGGTGGAGCTTTTTGTATCCAGCGGGGCAGCACCAAAGATTCTGCCCCCATGGTCCTTGGGCAGCAAGGGGAAGGAAGCCCCAAGCTAGAGCTTACTTAGCTGCAGTGGTGAGGGCCTGACAGGGCCAGGGCACAGCGCCAACACCCAACAAGGATGTGCAGGGCTGATTCTGAGCCTCCTCTTCCATCTGAGCCCAGCTTTCCATCTGAGAGCAGGAAGGCACCTGCGCCATCCCAGGTTTGGGGGTGGCACGTGCCACTCCTGAACAGGAACCGGAATGACACTACCTGTGGTGTCACCTGTCCCCTAACACCTGCTAACCAGGAAAGAATGCACGGGAAGGACAGTACGAGAGAACTCCCAAGGTGGCTCCCTGAGGTGGCCAGTGTGCCAGTGAGCACACAGCAAAGCCTCCGCTTGTGCTCCTGGAGTAAGGCACTATTCACTCAGCCTTGCCGCACTTGCTGGGTGCCAGGCCCCCAGTTCAGAGGGGAGCAGACAATTAAAGGACAATGGGTTCAGAGCAAAGAGAAGACAGACCTTTCCAGGACTGAGCTCTGAACGTGCGGTGGGGAAGGGGAGGCTGGAAGACTGCCCAGGGCACTGGAGTGGTGTGTCCCCAGGTAGCCCGTGTAGAGCAGCACCCACCTCATCTGCCTTACCGGTCCTTGAGATAGGTTGCTCTTCCAAGTGTTTATCCGACTGAGAGGGCTCCTGGGTATGCACAGCAGGCGGGGAGGGCAAACCCACAGAGATAAGCTCGCACTCCATGTGGCCAGTTGCTCGCCCTGCCCTCTGCCTGATAGCAGGCAGAGGGGACACAGTGTGGAGCTGGGGACAGTCAGAGCTAGCCGGAACCCTGCTCGGTCGGCAGGAAGGACCAGCATCAGCATCTGCAATGGAAGGTAGAGGCATTGTTCTGGGCAAAAGCTTCACGTCCCCCTCCCCCACCAGGGAGCAGCGGAAGGGAGAGATGTGCGCGCTCCTCAGGGTCCAGCAGCTGCTTCTCTCCCACCAGCAGTCTGTCTCTGGTTCTTTGGGCTCATATCAAAGCCACCAGAATAACTGACAAAGTTTTCTTTGGCCTCTTCAGAGCCCCTGGGTTGAATTTGGAATTGAGCCCCCTTTGGACTGGCTGTTTGAACCGAGCCTTGGCTCCGTTCGGTCCCATGTTTGCCTGGGCACACATCTCAGGTGGCCTCGGCTGGGGTGGGTACGAAGATGGGGGTGGGCCTGGCTTTGGGGTGGATATGGTGAAGCCTCTCCACAGGGCAGGCTAGCAGCAGGCCACCAGCTGGGCATCTGGACACAGCTCCCGGTGGCGGCTCCCCTAGCTTCGTCAGCTGCAGGCCAGGGCCGCCTCTAGGCTGGAGCTCCTGTGTCCTTGCAGGAGCTCAGTTTCTGGGCCCCAGTCTGTGAGCACAGGGACCTACAAAGCCGAGGTCCCTGAGTGGCACAGGACCTCAGGAGTATTCTCTACAGCCTTGCCCACCAGGAAGTTCAAGGTGGCCACAAAGGCACATACAGTCTTTTCACATCTCAGGCTCCAGGGTGGTGTGGGGGCAGCCGCCCTGGCCTTGGGTGGCAGAGCCGGATTGGATCACAGGACCGGGTGCTTTGCCCAGGAGCTGTGGTCAGCTCTAGACACAACGCAGCAGTCTGCACCCTCCTCTCCCTCCCCACATACTGATGATTTTCTATGATTTCTTCCTTTCGCTACAGGGAGCGGGCTGGTGCGTGGTGCTGGGTATCTCAGACTTGGCCCCTGGCTCAGAGCTCTGACCCCCTGGTCACACCTAAGGACACACCTGCTCCTCACCTCCCCCCCCCCACTCCCCACCCCCGCCCCCTTTCAGGCTGTCTCTTGCCTGCCTTCCCTGCCGGCAGTTTACAGAAGAGAGACAGATAACGTCTTCTGCAGGGCAGGAGGGATGTGAGCGACCCTCTGTGCTGGGTGTGGGAGTGCGTTGCTTCCGAGGTGACTCCATGGTGAGCCCGAAAGGCATTTCAGAGTCCCTTCTGTCCCAGGGCCCGCAGTGCACCAGGCATTCTGAGAGGCCAGGGTGTGCTGCCTGATGCAGGGACTGCTTTTTATTTTTCCTCACTTAGAACAAAAGGTGACTGTTGTAACCGAAAGACAGACTCAGGAGAAGTGTTTTAATCCCATGTCTTGGCTTAGAATGTTCAGTGAAGTTTAAGTTCAGAGCAGTCCTGCCAGTTAAATTACCTTCTTCTTGACCTGATTGTTGCTGCCAAGGTGATTATGCACCCTGGGCCACCCTCACCTGCCGTTGCTTACTTTCAGGGTTTGCGTGATGATGGATACTGTGGTTGCCTTCTACCCTGATGTGTGATGTGCTGTCACCCCGGACCATCACGGGCTAGGGGCTTTGCTCCAATAATATAGATCCCATACCACATTTGACTGGGCAGAACTGCTTGCCCTTTAGAAATCATGTGGCACCTTGCTGGATCCGGGCCCCAGACTTGTCCTGGCCCTTCCTCTCACTTCTCACCCCTTTCCCCAGCAGGGCGGCAGGACTATGATCTCCTGGTGATTGGCGGGGGATCTGGCGGCCTGGCCTGTGCCAAGGAAGGTATGTGTCCTGTGCCCTGCGTCCTGCCAGTGTGGTTGGGCCTCCAAGTTTTCAGCCCCCCCCCCCGCCCCGAGAGGGCTGCATTGTTCTCGAAGCTGGGTGGAGAACCTCCCTGTGTGGCTATGCAGAGGGCATTATCTCTGTAGCTGGCCTGCCGGCCTTTGGGGTCCTACATCCAGAGTCACCCCAGGACCCTTGTCAGTGTGCCTTACTCCCTGCCACTCCCCAGTTGTCTGTGCAGCACCCAGTAGCCAGGATGGTATCCTGGGTCTTAGCCTGCTCTCCTGGGCTCCAGCACTGGGCCACATGGGATCTGCCCCCACCCATCTGACATGTCTCCCACCACCCACACCTTGCCCTCTTGTGCTGCTCCAGCCCCTCGCCGCCTCGGTGTTTTGCAGATGCTTCCTGAAGGTCTTTCTGGCCTTGCTTCTTGCCCTGGCTTTCTGCCCGGCCTGGTCTTCTGTTTGCCTGCCTGATTAGCTGGAGGGTTCACTCACCTTCCTTCAGTCTTTGCTGCTGAGATGGCCCTACTTAGAATGACAGCCTCACCATCTGGTCCCTGTCCGCAGCTCCACTGTCCTCATTCTTAGCCCTGGCATGTCCCGCAGAGATCATGGTTTGTTCTGCTGTCTGTGTCTTTCTCTCCTCAGCCTGACACCCAGAATGGCCTGGGGCACCCTAGGGTGCTCAGTAAAGATGTGTGGAATGAAAGGGCTGGCCCCAGAGGCATCCAGAGACCTACTGTTGCAGGTTGCCACTAATCTGGGTGGGGAACAGACCCAGCATTTCCCTGGGGGCTCTACATTGTGCTGGAGGAACGCCTGGCGGCCTGCTTGCCTGTCTCAGTGATAAGGAGGCAGATGTGGATGGGGGGGGGGAAGCCAGGGGAGAAATGGGGCCCCAACAAAAGGGAGTTGAGCAGGCACCCTGACCATGAAATTCTAGCTCTCTGCCATCAGATCCTGGGTTTTTGGAATCACAGTCAGTCGGCATAAAGGAAATTTGCTGTCCACTGCTCTTCCCCCGAGGGGCAGAGGACGGTGCCGGCCTGTGGGGGGGGCGGCGGGCAGGAACCTGGGAAGTCTCCCAGCGGATATAGGGGTCCACAGAGGGACACGAGTCCTCATTCCACTGGGCCACAGAGCCGCCGCAAGAAACGGGACAGACAGCCAGTTGTCCCAGCGATGTCCCTTGGAGCAGAAGAAAGCCCTAGATGTTGTGTCTACTCCGGTGTCCAGAGACACATCTCCGCTAACCCTCAATAGTTCTCAAGTCTGTCTTTGCTTTTGTAACAGCGACATTCTCCCTGTGGATGATGGTGCTCTTCTACAGCATTCTTGAGCTATAATTGATGTAAAACAAACCAGACATGTTTAAAGTGGACCACTTGCTACGGTTTGACATATGCACACACTTGCGAAACCAAGTACCCCAGTGAAGCTGGCGAACATATCCATCACCCCTGTATTTGCTTGCTGGAGCAGCTCTGGAGGTTGGAAGTCTGAGGTGAAGGTGCCAGCAGGGTTGTTTCTTCTGAGTCCTCTGTCCTTGGCTTGTAGATGGCCATGATTTCTAGTGTCCTCACAGGGTCTTTCCTCTGTGTCTATGTCCCGATCTCATCTTTTTATATGCACACCAGTCAGATTGGAGTAGGGCCCATCTGTATGGCCGCATTCTAATTTAATCACCTCCGTAAAGACCCTGTCTTCAAATAAGGTCACATTCTGAGGTTCTGGGGCTTTGGGCTTCACCAAGAATTTGGAGGGGATGTGACTCAGCTCATAACAAACCCCAGAGTTTCCCCAAACCTTGGGAGCCCCTGCCTGCCGCATCCCCAAACAGCCAACGATCTGTTTTCTCTCACTGCAGATTAGTTTGCATTTTTAAAATTTTGTATAAATGGAACCATGTAATATGTATTCTTACTTCTCTGGCTTTTTTCACGCAGCCTAATTGTTTTGAGATTCATCTGTGATGCTGTGTGTGTCCAGAGTTCATTCCCTTCTATCACTTCAGTATTCTGTTGTACGCATACACCACACTTTGTTCACCTGCAGGTGGACGTTTGGGTTGTTTGCAGTTTGGGGCTACTGTGAACAGTGCTGCTGTGAACATTTGTGGTTATGTCTTTGTGTGGATGTATGTTTTCAATTATCTTGGATAAATGCCTAAAAGTAGAACAGCTAGGTCATGTAGTATATCTCTTCTTTCAGTATTTTTTTCATTTATTTCCACAATCTTTTGTAGTTTTCAACATACAGCTTTTGTCAGGTTTGTCTCTAAGTGTTTCATATGTTTTTTTTAATAGCTTTTTTTTTAAGATTTTATTTATTTATTTGACAGAGAGAGAGGCAGTGAGAGAGGGAACACAAGCAGGGGGAGTGGGAGAGGGAGAAGCAGGCTTCCCGCTGAGCAGGGAGCCTGATGCGGGACTCGATCCCAGGACCCTGGGATCATGACCTAAGCCGATCATGACCTGAGCTGAAGGCAGATGCTTACTGACTGAGCCACCCAGGCACCCCTGTTTTTTTTTTTGTTTTTAAGATTTTATTCTTTTAAGTGATCTCTGCCCCCAGTGTGGTACTTGAACCCACAACCCCGAGATCAAGACTCTCACGCTCCCTCATTGGAGCCAGCCAGGTGCCCCAGCTTCACCCAGTTTGAAATTGGGTTGTGTTTTTATTACTGAGTTACGTGAGTTCACGTACATATGTTCCATACTCTTACGTAAATATAGTCTGGATACTAGACCCTTATCAGATACGTGATTTGCAAATACTTTCTTCCATTCCATGGATTATCTTTTTACTTTCTTGATTGTGTTCTTTGCAGCACAAACGATTTTGATTTTGATGGAAGTCCAGTTTACCTGGTGTGTCTTTTGTTGCTATTCTTTTGGTGTCCGAGAAACAGTTGTCTAATCCAAGCTCACAAAGATGTATGCCTGTGTCTTCTCCGAAGACTTTTCCAGTTTCAGCCCTGACACTCAGGCCTCTGGTCCATTTCAAGTTCACTTAACAAATATGGTGCTAGGTAGTTGCCTTGGGGTTTGCAGAAGACATCTTGAACTTGTCATAGTCTGCCTGCAAGTGATATGGTCCAATTCACACATAGTACCAAAACCATGTGGCCACACGTTTTACTTTGACGTGTTATGAGGCCCATAACACGTTGTTATATTTTGTCTAAACAGTTACCTTCCAAAAAGATTAAACTAATGAGAAAAAAATCTTACAGATCTGCCTGTGTAATCACCATTTCTGGTGCTCTTTCCTTTGTATAGATCTGAGTTGCATCTGGTATCATTTTTCTTCTGCCCAAAGGATGTCCATGAACATTTCTTGTAGTATGGCTCTAAGAGTAATGAATTCTTTCAGCTTTTGTATGTCTGAAGACATCTTTATCTTGCTTTTATTTTTTTAAAGATATTTTCTCTGGGGGGGCACCTGGATGGTTCATTCGGTTAAGCATCCAACTCTTGATTTCAGCTCAGGTCATGATCTCAGGGTCGTGGGATCGCGCCCCACATCGGGCTCCCTGCTCAGTGGGAAGCCTGCTTCTCCCTCTCCCACTCTGCACTCAGCAGGGAGTCTGCTTGGGATTCTCTCTCTCTCCCTCTCCCCCTCCCCCTGCTCAAGCACTCACTCTCTCTCTATCTCTTTCTCAAATAAGTAAATAAAATCTTAAAAATATATAATTTTCTCTAGGTGGGGAATTCAAGGTAGATAGTTTTTCTTTTTTTCTTTCAGCACTTTAGAGATGTTGACGTTCTGGCTTCTCGCTGCATTGTTTCCGATGTCATGTGCTGCTCTTTTATCTCTGTTCCTTTGTTGTGTGTCTTTTTGTCTCTGGTGGTTTTCAGGATTTTCTCTTTTCATTGGTTTTGAGCAATTTAAAGAGGGTGCACCTTGGTGTAGTTCTTAATTATTTTTCTGCTAGAGTTCACTGAGTTTCCTGGGTCTGTGGATTTATCGTTCTCATCAAGTTGTGAGAATTTTCAACCGTTATTTCTCCAGGGAATTTTCCTGTCCTTCCTCTTCTCCTTCACTTTTGGAGACTTTAATCACACATGTATTAGGCTGCTCAAAGTCTCCCTTCAGCTCATGGGCGTTGTCTTCATTTTGGAGAGTTTCTATTCCTATGTTTCCAAATTCACTAATAGAAGATTCTGCAAAGTCTAATCTACCATTAATCCCACACAATATATTTTTCATCTCTTGTATTGTAATTTCATCTCTACAAATTGGACTTGGGTCCTTTCTTGTATCTTCCATGTTGCCCCTTAACTCTTTGAACATGTGGAATATGGTTACAATACTCGTTTTACTTCTTTTCTGCTAATTCTGTGTCATTCTTGGTCAGTTTCCATTGACTGATTATTTCTCTCTCGTGGCTTATCTTTTCCCATTCCTTTGCATGCCTGGTCATTTCTTATTGAATTCCAGACACTTTGAACTTTCCCTTGCTGGCTCCTGGATATTTTTAGATACCTGGATACATTTTTGAGTATGTTCTGGGATGCAGAGAAGAGAGTTTGAGTCTTTTGCATCCTCCATTTTAAGATTTGTTCAGTGGGTCTGGAGCTGTGCCCAATCACTCTCAGTGACTGGGGTCTGACCTTAATACTTACCCAGCTCCCCAGGAATTATGTGTTTTCTCCAGTCTGACTTCTGGGAACAGGCACTATTCCCAGCCCTGCGTGAGCACTGTCTCCTCTATTAGTCTTTCTGGATGGTTCTTTCCTGGCCTCAGGTGGTTTCCTCACACACACACACGCACCGATCAGCTGTCTGGGGTTCTGTGCAGCTGTCTCCTCTCTGGTCCTCTGTCCCGGGAGCTCTGGCTGCCTCAGTCTCTCCCAGAATCCCAGCCCTCTCCTCAGCCAGGGAGTCCAGTGGACTCAGCCTGGGCCCCCTCCCCATGCTGCATCACCTTATTTGTTTCCTATCTTCCAAGAATCACTCTCCTTGGTCTTCTGATGTTCAATTTCTTGAAAGCACTATTTTATGTCTTTCCCCTGGATTTTTGGTTGTCTCGGATGCAAGGATAAATCCAGTACCTGTCGCCCCATCGTGGTCAGCTGTGGGAGACCGACGCTGGCATGTTTGAAGAGTCCCTTTGGCTGGAGTTTTTAAAATAAGCACTGCAATCCCATTATTGGTCAGTTGAGCAAAATGGATTTTTACATGAAGGCTTCTAAAACTTTGTTCTGATCTTGGTCAGTAGCCATGAATCAAGTGTGTTCTGTAGTATGTCAGACACTCACGGGTCACGATGTTTAAGTCGGGCATGCCCTCAGGGGCGGTCAAGTCTAGAGCCCAGGTTGGCAGTGCAGCTCCCCAGGCAAGCCAAGGGGAAGCCCCGCGATTAGCCCTGGCTAATTGGTGACAGGGTCATCACCTGGGACTCGTGGCCCTGGGAGGAACCCACTGACAGCCAGTGGGGGAGGCCAGGAGACTCCAGGCAGGAGGTGCAGTTTGGAGCCCAGGTCTCCCTCCCCCTGTGGGGGCTGGCTGACCCTGGACCTGCCATTTGACTTCGGAGCTTCCAGTTCCTTACCCTGAGAATGAGGCTGCAAATGCCCACAAGAGTAGACCTTGGGTGGAAGCTCCCCACCATGTCCAGTGGGGAACAGAGTAGGTGAGCGAGTCCACTGGGAGGGCTTGGGGAGAGAGCCAGGGGAAGCTCCAAGGCTGGGACCTCTTTTGGGGAGTGGGTGCTCCTATGACACCTGCTAGTATGTGCCAGGTGGGCGCTAGGCTCATGCTGAATGTCTGGGTTGGAACCGGGTGCGGCAGGAGGCAGGGGTGGGGGGTGCTGGGCCCAGGGCGGCTGTGGTGGGCTTGTGAAGGAGGGTGGGCGTCCCACCAGGTCCTGGCACTGTGGTGGGTGGGATGAAGGCTGCAGTCAAGAAGAGGCCCGAGGGTGCCCACCTGTGGGCAGCACAACTGTGTGGTGGCAGACAGGTGGGGAGACCGGGGGCAGAGCTGGTGGGCACCTCCTTCCTTGCCTTCGTCTGGTCCTCAGCCCCAGCCCCTAAGCAGCTCCCCACCTGCCCGCTCCTCTTGTCGTTCCAGCTGCTCAGCTGGGAAAGAAGGTGGCCGTGGTAGACTACGTGGAGCCTTCCCCCCGAGGTAGGTAGCCCCGGATGGGAGCCATCTGTCTTGGGGGAGCAGGAGGATGGGGGCCTGGTTCACATATAGGGGCAGTGGCTGAACCTAGAACCATTCACCACTGTTGGCCAGGCTCTCTGGCGAGTGTCCTCCTTGGCAAGTCAGCTGCCATTACTTTAAAGTTCTTCATTCTTATTTAAAGACAACGCAGACTACAACTATAGAGAGTAAATTCCCAGGGCAGGGTTCACCTGGAGCATACAAACAACAACTTAAAGGACTCTTTTTTTTTTTTTTTTTAAGATTTTATTTATTTATTTGAGAGAGAGAGTGAGTGAGCAAGAGAGAAGCTGGCTCCCTTGCTGAGCAGGGAGCCTGATGCAGGGCTTGATCCCAAGACCCTGGGATCATGACCTGAGCCAAAGGCAGACCCTAACCTACTGAGCCACCCAGGCGCCCCAACTTAAAGGACTCTTAGACAACTGTAGAGGACCAGGAGGGCCTTCCAGTCCCCTGAATATAAATCTAACCGTGCTCTTCCCAACATGTCAGGTACCAGGTGGGGCCTCGGCGGCACGTGTGTAAATGTTGGCTGCATCCCCAAGAAGCTGATGCATCAGGCAGCGCTGCTGGGGGGCATGATCCGAGATGCCCCCCACTACGGCTGGGCCATCCAGCCGGTCCTGCATGACTGGTGAGGAGCCCACCCACTCCCAGTGCCTCTGTGCTCCTCACGGGTTGGGGGAGGCTTACTGCCCCATTAACCCTCACAGGAGCGAGCTACCAGACAGGGGCGCTCACCCAGGGGCCACCCCCTCCCCAACATTCGGCAAAGTCTGGAGACATTTTTGGTTATCACCACTGGTTGGGGTGGGGGGCTGCTGCACCCGCACAAAGGACAGTCTGGCCCCAGAGGCCACTAGTGGGAGGTGAGAAACCGATTTGGCTTCCACAGGTGGCCCCTGGTCTGCTCTGAGCCACACACAGGCCCCTCCATGGTTCTCAGATGACCTAGACTCAGGGCCACTGCTGTGTCCTGATGGCTGTGGCCCGCAGAGACAGTGGCCGGGGGCATAGGTGTCACATTTTTCCACCTTTAGAATCACCTTGTTTCTTGGGATTTCTGCCAACTCACTATTTGCGTCTACTCGTCGGCTGTGGGACTCTGCAGTTCATGCTTCTGTGGTGGTTTCTGACATGTCTTGGTGTGTGTTAATAGGAGGACGATGGCAGAGGCCGTGCAGAACCACGTGAAGTCCCTGAACTGGGGGCACCGGGTCCAGCTGCAGGATAGGTACTGAGGCCTCGTGCGGCCCTCCCCCCTTCTCTGGGGACATTTCCTCCCTTGGCAGGCACTTTCTCACTAGAGGCTTGGCAGTGATAAGACCAGAAGTCCCCGCCCGTGGGGTGGGGTGCACACATGCAGAAGGAGGGCCGCCCTGCAAGCTCGCACCTGCAGAGCCTGGAGTAGCAGGGGCGGAGGGGCATGTTAGTGGGACAGCTGGGGCCTGGGTCTGCACCAGGGAGGGGGCATGCTCGGGGCTGGCGCTGGGGAGTCCAAGGGCCAGAGCATGGAGGCACAGAGAGGGCCATCCCAGTGCCCAGTGCCTTCCTCGAGGCAGGTGACCTTTCTCCTGTCAGGGTCGACCACCGTGATGTGGTCAGAGCCCAGTGAGCTCCATGTTGCTGTTGCAAAGAGGATGCCCGGGCACCACCCTGTGAAGCCCACACGTCACCTCTCATCTCCAGGCTCCCACACCCTGAACCCCACACCTCACCACCCACCTCCAGGCTCCCTGGGCATGTATGAAGTCACCTGGTGTTGTCTGCTGAAGCAAATGTGCAACATAATCATTCCAGCCTAAAGCCGCCAGGTCCCATCAGCCCTTTGGGGTTCCCCAACCTGGATACCGACTCAAAGCATCCTCCCTGAGGAGCTGCTACCAGAAGGAGAGGTGCTCAAAACTGCACTCGACTCTGGCGAGGCTTCGCTTCCTGGCCCTATCGCTCCACCCTTTGCCATGCAGGTCATGGAGGGCACAGTGTGCCCTCAGAGGTCTGGTGGCTCTCATCTGAGCACTATTTGCTTGGCTCCAAGGAGTCTTCCTGGGGCTGTAGGGTACACAAGTGTTTTGTGCCCATGAAACCCAGGATAGCTGAGCCAGGGAAGCTGGCCCGCATGCCCATCCCGGGTGTCCCCAGGGGTCCCCCCCTCAGGGAGGTAAGCTGCATCTTGTCACTTTTCCTCTCTGTAGGGCTCAGTCTTCCCCGGGGCAGTTTGCTGGAAGCACAGGGCTCTGCCCTCCTTCCCGCTAGCCCCAGGCAGCTCCCAGGCAAGTGCCAAACAGGCCCGAATGATCCCACCTTCTGGAGGTGCCCCCAGAAGGAAGCCAGTGCAGAACTTGTGTCTGTCATCTGGCTGTTACTGGGCTGTGGGGCTGAGTGAGGACTCGGTTCTTACAGCTCAGGCGGCACATGGAGGTGCAGGCCTCGCTTGTGGGGAGGATGTAAAATCAAGGAGGTGGTGAAGCCTTACCAAAGCGCCAAGAACCCACCACTACAGAGTGGCCTTCATTATCAGAAGGTGTGGATCGTTTGTGCACACCCTGCACCTGACCACCCTTCTGTCTTCATCATACCTGTTTTCCAGCCTTACGGTCCCCTAAAGGCAGGGGGTGATGCCTATCTGGTGGGCACCCTCCCTTGTCAGCGGGAAGTTGGTCATTTGGGTGGCGGGGGTAACTGGGTGCAGGCGGGGGGGGGGTTCTCTGCTTCCTGCTGGAATGTGCCCAGGTGACAAGGAGGGACCCTGGGGAGGCCCAGCCGCTTCTGTCATCACACACTGGGGCTGTACTTGGGCTCTCGGGGCCATCCCGGGCTGGCTTCTGTCCTGGCAGCTCCAGGGAGCCCTGGCCCTCCTCCCCCTGCACACCTCCCGGTGCCCCTCTCCACTCGCCCCTTGCTCCGCCTGGGTTGGGGGCAGGGGGCTGTGGGCCCACACTTTTCTTTTAGCCATCCACTCCCTCTTTAATCCCATAGGTGACGCCTAATGTGCAGTGGAAATATTTGACAATCTTAATTGTTATTTTGCAGAAAAGTCAAGTACTTTAACATCAAGGCCGGCTTTGTCAATGAGCACACGGTTTGCGGTGTCGCTAAAGATGGGAAAGAGGTGAGTGCCCAGCTCTCCCAAGTGGCTCCTCTCGCATGGTCCTTACCCTTCCAATGACTCCAGACTTGTTCGACCTCAGTGCTCTTCTCAGTAATAAGCGCTGCTGGAATTGACCGGCGATCCCTCTGAGGCTGGTTGTGATTCTCTGCGAGTGATGAAACGCCATCACTGAGATGCACGTGGCGCCAGGCTGTCCGCTGCACTGGGCAACAGGGCGGGTGATCCTACCCTCACAGAGTTTTGCGGGATTGAGGGAGATGAGACACCTGCAGGGCGCTCTGTAAACTGTGGGATGCTTGGAGTTAGAATGTCTCCCTGCCCTCTTCTGCTGGGCCCCCTCCTGGCTCGAGGACCCGTGACAGGCTCCCAGCTCCAAGGGGCCTCTGAGCTCCTGGTCGGAGGGTCCACACTGCAGGGCAGGAGCTGTGATTAGAAAGCGTGGGTCTCTGCTGGGAGCCTGTGCTGACCTGCCTGACCACAGCTTCCTCGCTTTATTCTCAGACTCTACTTTCGGCTGAGCACATCGTCATAGCTACTGGAGGGCGGCCGAGGTACCCCACTCACGTGAGTATCCCCAGCACACAGCCTTCCCTCGCACCCCGGGTATGTTCACGGTCTCCCAGCTTACACTTCCCACACCAGTGGCACCCCCACTTTTTCTTTTCTTAAAAAAAAAAAAAGGTTTTTTTCTATATTGACTCTGATCACTTTCTAATGCTCTCTCAACTGCGTTCTATGGAAGCAGGCCGACAGGGACCCCCGCATCCCCTCACTCTTCACGTGGCTCTAGGACACCCCTGCCCCTGGTCTCCTTTATCTCTCTTTGCTGATTCTTCCTTTTTTCCTCAGCCTCAAGGTATTGGAACATCCAGGACTTAAGTCTCTTCTTCCTGCCCCCACCCCAAATCATGACATAAGATTCTCATACCATAAAATGCACCCTTTTAAAGGATATGATTCGGGGGAGGTTTAGTTTATTCACAGAGTTGTGCAACCGTCAGTCTCCACTACCTAATTCCAGAACATTTTCGTGCCCCAAATGAAATCCTGTCCCGTGAGTGGTCACTCCGTTCCTGGCTCCCCAGCCCCTAGTGACCACTAGCCTGTTTTCCGTCTCTGTGGATTTGCCCATTCTGGGCACTTCACATAAATGAAATCAGACAACATGTGGCCTTTGTGCCCGGCTTCCTGCACTTAGCAGAAGGTTGTCAAGGTTCATCCACTTGGTAGCCTGTGTCAGAGCTTCATTCCTTTTCATGCCTGAATAATGAGCCATTGTGTGGCTGGACCATATTTTGTTTGCCCACTTGTCCGTTGATGAACATCTGAGTTGTTTGCACTTTGAGCTGTTGTGAATAATGCTGCTGTGAACATCAAAAACTTGTGCACAAGTTTTTCCATGGACTTAAGTTTTCACTTCTCTTGGCTCTATACCTAGGAATGGAGTTGACGGGTCATAGGGTAACTCAGTTTTTAACCTTTTGAAGAGCCAGCAGCCTGTTTTCCAAAGCGGCTGCACCATTTTGCGTACCCCACCCCTTCCAATGACGTGTGAAGGTCATACTTTCCTGGTTCTTCACATTTCATAATTTTTTTTGGTTGTTGAGAAATGAATATTTCAAATAAAGTAATGCGTTAACTCTGGAAATCAGAATCTGTCTCCACCGTAGGATTTTGTTCATTGCTATTGTATGTCGTGTGGTTTTCTGAAGCAATTTTGTAAAGTCTGTATTCTTTCTCAGGGGAGGCCACTGAGGTCTCTGCTCAGTTTGCTTAGTGGTCAGCTAGTAACTAGACAGAGATTTCCTGAAACACCTGGAGAAACGGCCCAGTCTTTGCTGACGGATTCTGTAGTCATTTGGGGGCATGCTTTGGGCAGTCAGCCAGGCGCCAGAAACTCTGCCTTAGCCCTCACTTCCTACCTGTGCCGGGCCTCGAGGTCAGCCAGAGGGGAGAGCTCAGGCTGTCTGCGGGAGCTTTTCAAAGCCCCTGTGGACAGCTCACTCCTTGGCTTTCCTTTTATTTACTTATTTTTTTAAAGATTTTATTTATTTATGTGTCAGAGAGAGAGAGAGCACAAGCAGGGGAGGTGGCAGGCAGAGGGAGTGGGAGAGGGAGAAGCAGGCTTCCTATTGAGCAAGGAGCCCCATGCAGGACTTGATCCCAGGACCCCAAGATCATGACCCAAGCCAAAGGCAGACGCTTAACCAACTGAGCCACCCAGGCATCCCTGGCTTTTCCTTTTAAGCTTTTGGTGGTGTGTTGTTTGCTTCAGCTGTTATCCATTGGTTCGGGCAGCCGTGGCATCAGTCACTGGGCAGATCCTCCTCTGAGAGAGGCTTCTGGCCCTGGGCCAGGTCAAGTGAGGTTGAAGACAAGCCTTTTGAGTGGGGTCTTCTGGGGAAGCCCCAGCCAGGTCAATTGACAACTGTTTCTTGGGAAGGAGCTTTGCAAGGGCTCCGGCTCGGCTCGGCTCTGCTCTCCCTGCTGTGTTTCTTAAGTCGCTCATCGTCGCTCAAGGTTGCCGCTGTGCTGAGGGATAGGGCTAGAGTCTGTTACAACTTCACAAAACTCACTGTCCGTACCAAGTTTCAGCCATTTTTCTTGACTAAACGTTCCCTGTGTTGCTGCAAGCTTTTGATTAATTTCCAGAGTTCTCAAAAAGTTGAATCTGACTGTTTTGCTAGTTGTCTGGCTGTTTTTATGGAAGGGTGAACATTGGGAGGTCCTCGTGCCACTGTTTTTTGCCAGCGTCCCCTCCCCCATCTGCTGTGAGGGTGCTTCTCTGCCCTCATTCCCATGAGGCAGGTGGAGCTAAGGAAGGGGCCGTACAGTCAAGGTAGTGGAGAGGGGAATGGGAAGCAGGAAGGGGCTTGGCCGAGGCCACATCCTCGTGGGTCTCCCAGGGGCCCTGGGAAGCAGATGGCACAAGCCCTGAGCCTCCACATGGGCTGCAGCGAAGTGCATGAAGCCCACAGACTCCCTGGGCCTGGAGGCCACTTCTGCCTCCTAGTTAGACCGACAGAGCACAGACGGAGCAGATGGAGGAAGAACAAGGGAGCAGTTCTGTTTCTCCCCAGATGCCCAAATCCCAAGCCTCCATCTTTGGTTCTGTGCTTTCTCTGGAAATGGGGAACAGAGGGGGCATGGGGAAAATAGCATACCTCCAGTCCTCAGAGGAGCACCATGCCTCCCTCCGGCTGTCAGGCCCTCAAGAGCAGCCTCCGGAGGGGACAGGTGGCTTGTGCACAGAGGTGGCCCTTGGGTGGGTTACATGGTTCTGTAGGGTGGTGGGGTGCTGTTGTTCAAGGGAGGAAAGGTGGGCGACCATTAGTGACCCCTCACCCTTCAGCCAGGCCTATGTTGGTTCTGCATAAAGCCCCTGAAGGCCACAGTCAGCTCCCAGGAGCTGGGCGGTCATCTGGGACAGACCGACTTATGTGCCCGCGCCAGGGTGCCCTGCAGAGGCGACAGGCCTGGCCCCAGCCTGCTGGACCTCGGCTAGGCGGCTGCCATGTGTCCCCTGGCCAGAGGGGGATAGAGCAGGAGTTATCTGGCCCATGGGGAGGCAGCCGTCCCACCGCCCACCCCCGCCACCCCCTCCCTGGGGGCCTGCCAAGACTCACTTGTGTTTTAGTTCCTTTGATTTCTAGACCTTTTGGTTTTCTTTACACAAACCCGAGAAATTCCTGGCTTTATTTTTATTGCCGATTAGAATCATAAACTGTTTGCAATCCGCTTCCTCTCCACCCGCACATCTTGCTCTTCTTACTCTCGTGGGCCACTGAGGGGACACAGGTCCTTGTCTCCCCCGCCTGCTTAGCGGTCCCTCCTCAGGCTCCGCTGGGGATGCCCAGGAGCGTCCAGCCTTCAGCCCCGTGCCCTTGGGTCCAGCCTGCCCCTCCACACCCTGCGTCACTCTGCTCCCTGCCTGTCCTCCCTCAGCCCAGCATCTGGATCAAGGGGAAGGCCCTGGAGAGCAGGGAGGAAAAAGCTGCGGGCCATGCACCGGCTCCCCAACCACCTTGCACAGCCAGGGAGTGCTGGGTGTTTTGCCCAGGAAGGTAGATGGTGCACCAAGTCAGATATAGCCAGGTCACCTGTCCCTAGAGGCCACAACCTGAAGAACAGTGTGTGGAGCAAGGAAGTGCACCCATGGGTGGGCTGGGGGTGGTTCTGCTTGAGTTGTGTCTACAGAATGGTCATCCTCTTTGGGGGAAGTCTCTGGAGACAGGCCAAGTGATGCTCTTCTCACATTGATCCTTTTTTTTTCTGGATAGATTGAAGGTGCCTTGGAATATGGAATTACAAGTGACGACATCTTCTGGCTGAAGGAATCCCCTGGAAAAACGTAAGACCCGACGTGTGCCTTAATGGATATCCTCTTGTTCACTGTTGCAAACATCAGAACCATTCAGAACCACATGTTGGTCCTCTCTCCCTCGTGCATTCTTTCCTGTCTACATGAAAGAAGGACAGAGAGCCCGGTGCTTGGGCCCGTTGGTGGGGCTGTTGACTGTCTTGGAAGTGATGACCCATGTATTACAAAATTCATCAGCCACTGTCTAGGGGCAGTGGTTTTCAAACAGGGTTCCCAGAGCCCCAGGGTTCCAGTGGGTTCTGTCAGGGACATCACGGAGGGAGGACATTCAAGGAGGAGAAAGTAAGGCCAAGTCCTCAGGGAAAGCCGTTGGCCTCTCCTCAGGCCTTGATTAAACATCCCCTTTCCTCTGGTTTGAACCTTGGGCTTCTCTGAAATGCAGCAAAGCCTCCGAAGTTCTCAGAAACTGTAACCCAGGAAATGAGACGTGCAGTGTGTGAGCAGTTTTACACTCCCTGAGCGGGTGTTCAGGCACCAAATGTATTTCTTGTAGCCACAGAGCAGGCTGTTGGGGGGTTCCAGGTCTAGACAGGCCCTGCAAGTGCCGTCTGGGGGACGCAGGGACTGGAAAGGCCACCAGAGGGCAACAGAGGCTTGGTCGTCAGTGGGCTCTTAGCTGCCTTGGGACTTGCGTATGACAAAATAGAGGTGGAGAAGTGTGCCAGGGTGAGTGGGCATGTATGCACAAGTGTACGTGTAGGGGCATGTGTGTGAACGGGCACTGCTGTGCTCTCCTTATCACTGTTACCCACTTCCTGAGGCATCTCTGGTCGGGGTCGGGGCTTGATTCCCTTGAATGGATGTGGTGTAGTTGATCTTTCCACGACTCCCAAGCATCTCACTAGGCTCTTTTTGTCGGCATTATGAAATGCTGCAGCGAAAACCTTTGGGGTGCATCTTACCTACTGTCAGAATGCTTCTTGTGTGTTCTACATACCTGTCAGGGGGGTTTCCTACAAGCAAAGAACGCACGTCTTGCTAGCAGGTGCTCCCTCCTGGTGGGCTGCCCTGTGTTCCCGGCGTACCCCTGCCTGCCCCCCCCCCCAAACTGGGCCGGGCCATCGGCTTTTTCATGAACCGTAAAACAGGAAGGAGCCTCTCCTCCTGCTCCTGCGGGGGTGAACGCCAGTTGTTTCTGCCCAAGGTGTGTGTGGTCCCTCCAGTGACTGTGGTCAAGCTCACACAGGCTTGGATCCCTCTGTCGCGTTCCTCTGGCTCTCCAGGCTGTGGTTTCTCCTTTTACTCGGTGATATTATTTCATACAGAAGTTTGTAATTTTCACGCTGTGACATTGATCACTTTTTTCCTTTATGCTGAAATATCTGGGTTATCTATTCTTCTATCTTTAGTTAGCTAATGGGTTAAATGTGACCTGATTCTATTTGCACTTGCTATTACTAGTCATCATTTCGTGTATTTACTAGCCATTTAGAACTGAGTGTGTCTGTGAACGTCTGAGTGTGTGTGAGAGTGAGTGTGTGTGTGTGTGTGTGTGTGTGTGTGTTGTCAGCTTGGTCCGTGGCCCACTTTCTATCTGGTTTTTCTTTTTTCTTATCTGTTCCTTATCTTCCAGCTGGTCCGCGTTCTAGGGCTGTGATCCCAGGCCGTTTCTATTGCACATTTTCTTGGCTTGTCATGTCATTTCACTTGCGTGATGTACAAATGGTTTTTTTTCTTATTTTTTTTTAACCTACCTTAGATGTCTTTTTACACTTAATGGCTTTTAGATTTATTGCATGTTCAGGAAGGCCTGCTCCACCCCCAAGATTGTTTTTGAAAAAGAGCCTCTGTATTTTCCTTTAGGGCTTCCACAAGTCAGATTTTCCTTTTCATCCTCGGGGTGTTTGCCGTTCATCTTTGGTGTGGTGTGGTATGGTGTGGCGTGGTGTGGTATGGTGTGGTATGGTGTGGCGTGGTGTGGTATGGTGTGGTGTGGTGTGGCATGGTGTGGTATGGTGTGGCGGGGTATGGTGTGGTGTAGCGGGGCATGCTGTGGTATGGCATGGCATGTCGTGGTGTGGCGTGATGTGGTATGTGGTGCGGCATGGCGTGAAGGGGGCTGGGCTGCCAGGGTCCCTGTGTTGCTGACCAGCAGCCCTGCGAGCCAGTCTGAAAGCTCAGTCCCCGAGTGGAGTCCCGTCCTGCTCTGGCTTCTGACTCTGACTTTCCTGTATCACTGGTCCAAGTGCCTGGCACTGGCTTCAGATCTTAGTTTTCTTTTGCACTGACCCCTCTGGGTGGGATGTAGACCCACCAGACCCAGAGGCCTGTTTTGCCAGCCTCTCTGTAGTGGTCCTCTGGACCCGTGGTTCAGACAGCCTCGAATGTGCAGCTGCCTTGGAGGCCAGCTCGCCGCCGGAGCTTGTGTCCTGTGTGAGGCCCTGTGAGCTTCGGTCATCTCGGCCTCTAACCAAAGGCCAGCATTTTCTGAATCCTGGTCTTTTGTCAGATTCGTTCCTATGTATTCTGTCAGTTTCCTTTGTTTGCTGTTTTCCCATTACACGTTAAAAGCAGTGTCTCGGTGTCCGGAAAGGGGTCGGTTTCTAGCAATTGTCTCTCGGGCCACTGCTCACGGGAGGCTGGGTGTGTGTGTGGAGGCTGGGAAGGGCGGGAGGCCCAGGCATGCTGGGTGCCGCCGGTGCTCAGCGCGGTGGCCCAGGGCTGGGCCCCTCCTCCTCCGCGACCGTGTGTTGGGGCAGCGGACTGCTCGGCCGGGAAGACACCACCCCAGATCTTTCGGTCAGGAAAGAAAGTGCTGTGTTTATTTTTTTCAGGAAAAAAACATTTAGAAGATTTTTTTTTTAAAAAAAGCTCTTTCGTTTAGAAGGAATCTAGGTATGTTATTGTTTAAGAAAAAAAGTGTTTGCAATGTATCAGTCACCCGTTTCTCGTTCTGAGCATGATTTATGTGAGGAAATGGTTTTTTTTAAAAATTAAGCTGGAGATATATCCCTGTACGATGCTTCTGTGAAAATGTGGCTTTTGTCCGGTGCTGTTAATGCAAGTTGTAACAGTGTGATATGGGAGGCAGTGTTTACATGCTGCATTCCTCTGCTGTAGTCAAAATAAGCCCGGAGGGTCTACAGTAGCATTTCTGTATTTTATCAGCTTGGGCTGGGGCTGAGAGGGAGGCCTCCGCTCACACTTGGAGGGGCTGTTTCTGCCAGATTTATTTGCCTTATAAATATTCCCTGTGTTTATTTTAACTCGCCTTTAAAATGGAGCTGAAATTAATATGGACCTGAGGGCTGCCCCCCGGCCCTGTAGTGCCTCCTGCAGCCGGTGGGGGGGGGGCGGGGGATCTCTGCTCAGTGCCATGGGAGGCACAGCCAGTGCTGGAGGGCACCCAGCGAGCTGGCCTCCGTCTGCAGCGGGTGCGGCCCCCACCGGCCAGCTCCTCACGACCTGTCAGAGGCTCCGTGTCCCTTGTGCGTTCTTCCTTCCTCCATCCCTCCCCGTGATGGGCCATGGGCAGTATCCAAGACCTTTCAGGGTGCATCCGAGTTGGGCACAGTGACCAGTAGCCCTTAGTGGGGCCTGCGGCCCTTCAGCCTTCCGTGGTTGTTCCATAGCTTTGTCCCCTCAAGGCATGGACCCCGGTGGCCACAGAGGTGTTCAGCCTCACAGACATGTCTTTACTTGAATCCAGGTCTGGGGAACCCAGGGCTAGCGAGGTGGCAGAGAGGCCATGATGAAGCCCAAGCCCCGCTGGTGGGAAGAATGAAACAGCCTTCACAACACAGCTGGGTGCCCGGCTTGGCACCCCGGAGGTAACAGATCACATGTGGAAACTTCCACCACATGCAGCGTGAGCTCCCAAGTCTGCGCACAGGGCCCTGTGATGCCAGGCCGGGGCCAGGGGGCGCCCCGGTGGCCCACACCCTCAGCCTGAGGTGGGACCACGAGATTGGCATCTATTCAGCTTCGGCCTCCCGAATGCCAGCTTTGTATCTGGCTTGTTCAACATTTCCGTTGTTCTTGCTTCTTCCTTTTTCTGTGTAATCCAGGGCAGGTTGAAGAAGTGAGGAGGATTCTGGGGGAAGAACAGGGTCCCCTGGGCAGGTAGCAGGAGCCCCTTCGGAAGGAACGGTCAGGGGGATAATGGTCACTTCCAGGAACTATTGACCACCAGTGGAGAAAATGGGGGGGGCAGAGGAAGTGCACTGCCCTGCACCGGGAGGCTTAGAGATGGCGTGCAGCCCTGCCTGTCCCAGACGTCCAGCCCAGCAGCAGCAGCTTCCTGGCAGATGGAGGGAGGGTGGAAGGGAGAAAGGTGGGCCAACTCCCCACAGTGCCTTTAAGGAGGCAGGCCCTGGGGTATCTGGCCCCGCCTTTGATCCCACAGCCTGGTGATATTGGCTCACTCAGCTGGAGGGCCACCTCCTCTTCCAGGCCTTCTAGACCTGGGCATCCTGGCTGGGACTTGGGCCTGGCCTTCCAGCCTGCCCGGGGCCAGGATCCTCAGGTCCCCGCACCCTGCAACCATTTGGGGACCCTAATGGTGGAGAATCGAGGTCACTCTGCTCCACACCCCCTCGGCTCCCTGGCCCAGCTAGTCAGCATTCCGGCCTGCAGTTCACTCCAGGTCTGCCGGCCAACTCTCTGCACAGCTGGGCTCTGAGCTGGCAGCTTTGGGGTGACCTCCGTGCCACCACCTTTCTCTGGCAGCAGAGGACTTGAATGAGACCAGAGCGACCTAGGGGCAGCTCTTCCCCACGTTGGCCTGCCACACCACTGTTCCCACTCGCCGGCCCAGGTGGGTCCTCTCTGCTACAGCTGCACAGCTCGGCCCTCTGTCCTTGGGGCCCGGGGCTCTGTGAGGCAAGGTGTTTCTGTAACTTGGGCTGATTTAACACTGCCTCTCAGAGTTGGTCCTGGAAGGAGCTCTTTTTTTTTTTTCTGGACCCTTATTTTGTGTCTGGAAGCTGACTAGGTATTGTGATCATTTTTCTCTTTTCCTGAGTGCAGAAGGGAAGAATATAATTTTTTTTTTTAATTTATTTATTTTGACAGAGAGACACAGCGAGAGAAGGAACACAAGCAGGGGGAGTGGGAGAGGGAGAAGCAGGCTTCCCCGCGGAGCAGGGAGCCCGATGCGGGGCTCAATCCCAGGACCCTGGGATCATGACCTGAGCCGAAGGCAGACGCCTAACGACTGAGCCACCCGGGCGCACCTGGGAAGGATATAAATTTTTATCATGCAAAGAACCACAGCCATTTGGTTCGGAAAACTCATTGCTGTGAATGCTCTCATTTCCTGCTTAATGTCCATGTTCATTTAGTGTGACATCTTGTGTCCAGCAAAAGGGAGACCGGCTATCTGCCTGAGACTTGGCTACCAGCCTGTAAAGCCCCGCTGACCATCTCCCTGGCATATCCTGATGGCTGCCGGGCCCAGGGGCTGAGGAAGACAGCTCCTCGGGGTGGCATTGTTAGGAGGCCAGAATGGAGAGGCTCTGGCTGGGCGGAGGTGGGCCCAGTGTCGGACCCGGGTGGGATGGGGCTGGCAGATGCCAGGCAAGCCTGGAGCCAGCCCCCACTGGGGAGGAGGCCCTGGGGCCCCCCACCCTCCCTGCTGCCTCCTTGGGGCACCTGAGCGTGGCAGCCTGCTTGGCATTTCCTGCACTGGTGGGGCTGCCAAGGAGCCAGGTGCCTGCCATGAGGCCCTCACTTTGTGTGGGTGCTCCCCTAGGGGAGCGGATCAGGGGCCTTCAAACTCGAGAGGCAGGTGGAGGGCTCTTTAAGCTGCGGCTTCATGGGTCTGAATTAAGGCTTTTGTTTCTGCTTCCTCCCCCGTTCAGATTTTGAACAAGAAAGCCTGCCCTGTGATTAGGCTAATCCCACGGTAGTGATAGCTTCGCATGAAATGTTTGCACACTGGAGGGCACAGAGAGCAAAGTTGCCCAGAACACATGTACAACTGCATCAGGGGCTCCCGGGGTGTAGGGTGGCGGCTGCCCGCATGGGCTGATGCCCTTGTGTCCGGGTCTCTTAATATAGTGACAAGGCGAGTGTTTCCATTCCTCCGAGGCTCACTCAGGCCCTCCCCCCAGATCCGACAAGCTGGTCCTGACTTCCGCTGCTGCCAGCACCCCTGTCCTCCTGTGGCTCACCAGGGCCGGCATTGGTCCCTGCACCTTGGCAGCCGGCCTCGGCCCCATGGTTCCCAGGCCCTCTTCCTGGCCAGGGGTCCCCTCAGCAGCCAGAGGGACTTGTCTACAGTTTCAAGGGTACCTATAAAAACAAACCAGAGCCCCTCTTCCGGCCCTCCTTACCCCTCGTGATCTGGAGGCTCCAGAGTCTGTCTGGTTTTGCTTTGGCATTTTCCTGCTTCGGCTCATTTGAAGGGAGTTCTCTGAGTTCTTGGATTCTGCATTCTGCAAAGAATAACGATTATTTGATGAATTGGGGGCAGGGATGGAGTGAAAACCAATATTGTTGATAATCCTTGCTCACAAAGGCAAGACCCAAAATTACCTTCAAGAAGGCAGGACGCTTGTTTGCTTATGAGATTTCAGCTCTACACATGTGGTCAAGGACACCCACTTCGGAATGGCTGAGCTGGCACCAGCCTTCTCCCAGATGTGCCCTCTGTTGGTAACTCAGAGCTGGTGGCCTGAGAAGGGTGGGCCCCCGTGACTGGGAGGTGGGAGCGGGAGGCCCAGAGCACCGAGGTGGCTCTGTGGGAGGAGCTGCCTGGCCGCCTGCCCTACCTCCTTGTCCAGCTCCCCATCCACATAGTGCAAGAGGTTTAGGGAGGGCCCCGGGGGCTGCAGAAATAAGCCAGTTTTGCCAAAATCAGGAGACTGCCTTCCTGTGTCCTTAGCAATGTGACATGAGGATCTGGAGCTGTCCTGTAGGCTGTGGCCGGCAGCCGGCTGGCTCCTGCTGGAGGGTCCACGTCACAGAGGCCGGAAGGCTCCAAGACAGGCCGGGACAGCCCCATTGTCCAACAGAGGGGTCCCCCAGTACCTGCATGCTGTGGCTGTCTGAGAGGCAGTTGGCCTGCGCCGTGGCCACCACTGGAAACAGGGAGCAAAGGGCACTGCGTGTTTGGCATTGACGCTTTTACCCAGCTTCGTGGGATGTTCAAAGCAGTTAAATTCTACTTGCATTTTAAGTAACTCAGAATTTCACGTCTTAAAGAAAAGCCTGTACCGTTCGCCATATACATCAAGTACAAAAGACATTAGAATATGTCATTCTGAAAACGTCGCTACACAGAGACCTACCTATTACACGTATGTGTGGCCACGTACACACGTGGATCCGCACGTACGCCAACATGTCTGTCTCTTAGACATTGCCAGGCCTGTGTGGGGCCCTGAGTGCCTCTCGGTGCTCCTACCAGCTGTGGGGCCCAGGGTCCCTCTCAACTTTTTCACATGGTGAGCTCTGTTCACTTGCCCCAAATGTGACTCCAGCCCAGTTCTGTCCCCAGCCCCTGAGAGGAAGCCGTGTGCAGTTGCTTCCCGCAGGGCACCTGCAGCAGTATTCCACGGGATATACTGCTTTTTGAAATGGAATTATATCATTAGTACCTGCCGGGATTAGTGCTGACATTGGGCTTATCCATCCTTACATCACCTCCTCTTACTCAAAGGCTGAAGGGGTGATCTGACAAGCCCACCCACATGTTGCCACCTGGGCGGGAATTTTCATTCCGTGTTAGGTTCTGCGCACGTGTGTGTATGTGTGCTTGTGTGCGTGTGTGTTCATGCGTGCAGAGTGGAGCTGGGTCCCAGTGTCCTGTGTCTCCCTCTGCCCCCAGGTGCCTTCATCCTTGCTGCAGGGAGCTGGCTCTCCTGGCCCCGGCCCGTGTGTGGCGGGGCTGGACAGGCACATGCGGGCCTTCCACGGTTCGAGGATGTTCTGGCCCCAGCTGATGCTTTCCCAGAAGCCTCCCTATTGTCCCGTGCCCTCCCTGTCCTGCAAAGCATGTCTGCTTCCATCTTGGCTGCCGAAGATCTGGAGGGACCCCATGGCAGAATTTACATTAGGACAGAAGGAAAACCATTCCCCTTGTTCTAGTGGGACTTTTCTTCACACGCCTGTGGACTTTGCATTGATCGCACTCCCAGGACCCTTCACGGGACATGTGCTGTTCTGTCACTGACCACTCACATCCTTCACCACCAGGCAATTTTCTGATTCAGCGACACTGTGTTTGTCATTTATTTCACAGTCAGAGCCTCTGGGAAGTGGGTTTTGTGCCTTGGGACAACCTGTTTGAACAGTTAGCCTCAGCTGACTCATCAACAGTGACACGTCAGCTGACCAGGCACCCCCAGAAAGCTGAAGGGCCCCGTCCCCCCTGTGGAGGCCCCAGTCAGGACAGCTGTGCGTGGGCCACGGTGGGCCACGTGTGGGACTCACCGTTCTTTCTGTCTGTGTCCATTCCTCTAACAGGTTGGTGGTCGGGGCCAGCTGTATCCTTTGCGGGCATGCAGGTGACAGCCGGCTGTGCTCACAGTCCTGAGAGTGGATACCCGGTTCCTACAGCCCCTCCCCCACGGCCCTCCCTTCCGGCAGGGAGGACGTCTGCTGCCTGGAGCCAGGCACTTACAGGGCCACTCAGGGCAGATGACCTGCACTCAGGGGACAATTTGAGGCTGACCTTTGAGGCTAGGGCTTCCTGGAGGCATTTCCTGAGCCACACGCTGAGACGGCTGAGCCTGTTGGGCCAGCTGGATACAGCCGTGAGGCAGGTGGTGCTCCCTGGAGAGCAGCCCCATCCAGGCCTGGTCGTTCAGAGGGAGCGGTAACACCGGAGAGGGTCAAGAGAGGAGCCATGGGAGAATCTGAGGTCAGGAGAGGGAATAGCAGAGGGAAGGTGAAAGCTGGGACTGCTAGCTGGGACCATGGGTCGAAGGCTGCTATTGCGTTTCTTTCGCCAAGGAGACTCTTCCCTCTGTCGCTACTCAGACCCCTTGGGGGTTGGGGGGTAGGGCCAGGCACCAAAGGCTGACATTAAACTGCCAAGAGCCTGGACAAATGCCCCATGGAGGCAGAAGCCACCTGGGCCCTGGGTACTGGAGGGTGCCCACGTCCTGTGGCTACAAGAGTCCCTACCTCACCTTGGACATGCATTTATGAGCTCGGCGGGGGGGGATGGGGTGGAAGGGGGGTCTTTGTGGTTGGTGTTGGGAGCCTCCTCCAGGCTGACTGGAGATTGGTGGGGGAGTGGGTGGGTGGCCAGGGCACTGGGGGTCTCGCCCCTTGGCTCCTGATGTCACGATCCATTAGCATTCTTAGCTTCTGGCAGATGTGGCCCTGGAGTGTGCTGGCTTCCTCACCGGGCTCGGACTGGACACCACCGTCATGATAAGAAGCATCCCCCTCCGGGGCTTTGACCAGGTATGGCCACGTGTACCCCAGGTCCCACCCTGTGCTCTCTCCCAGGCAGGTGTGGGTGTGGTCTGGCAGTGAAGTCTCAGTCTTTAGAAGCTGGCCCTTGAGTTGAGTAAGGAGATTGTTCCTGAAGTAGAAAACACCTGCCAGAGTGTGGAAGGAAGGGCTGGCCCATGGAACGTGCGGCAACATGCCCCCCCGGACCAAAGGGATGTTGGTGGGCATGCCAGGCCAGCCTCACAGACCACAGGGTTGGGTCAGCCCTTCTAGTCACTACATTAGTAAGCAGAAAGCATGTGTCAGCTAACTCACTGTCCCCCATCTCCCTTGCTGAGCCCCTCTGGTGTCTGAGTGAGGTGCCACCTCCGCAGGGGCAGCACCAGGTCAGGAAGCAGGTGCTAGACTGGTAAGGCCCTGCATGACCACCTCAGGAGAGGGCAGCCCCTGGCTGCCTTCCTAGTCACCTGCCATAGACTGAAAAGATGTGATTTGTGAGTCAGGATGAGCACTATGGTGGCTCTCCTGGCCGGCGGTCCACCCTGAGCACTCAGAGCGTCCCCACAGCCTCTGGGGCCCCGCCGGTTCCACGTCCTGTCCACTGTATGGGGCCAGCACTTCACGCAGCCTGCTTGTCAGGCGTGGCAGGAGCTCAGAGGGCCACCCTGTGGGGTCTGAAGAGTACAGGTTTTCCTGATCCGCGTCTGGGGCATAGACACCCCTGCTCACGGCAGAGGCATCCATGTCAGGAGCACGTGGTTTGCTGGTTTTTTTTTTAACTAAAACTCTTCAAGGAAAAGTCACCTGTTAAAACCAAAGTCTGGGGCTGTTGCTGTGAAGGTGTCAAAATGCCCTCGCACGTGCCCAAGAAGGAAGACAGACCCCCGTCTGTCAGTGCTCTCCGGCCTGGTGAGCTCTTGCGGAGGGAAGCAGTGGGCCTGCCGCCGGCCCCACCCCAGCCGGCGGACTCCAATACCTGGCCCTCGGTGCTGTGCGGGGCCACGCGCTTTCTTTTTTTCTTTTCTTATCTTTTTTTTTTAAGATTTTATTTATTTGTCAGAGAGAGAGAGAGAGCAAACAAGCAGGGAGAGTAGCAGGCAGAGGGAGAGGGAGAAGCAGATCCCCCGCTGAGCAGGGCGCCCACTGTGGGCTCGATCCCAGGGCCCTGATCGTGACCTGAGCCGAAGGCAGACGCTTAACCACTGAGCCACCCAGGTGCCCCTCTTTCACTTCACTCCACATTCATGTACTAAGTGTCCGCAGTGGGGCCACGGCATCCGGGGAAGGTCTCTATGCCTCGGGCTATGGGTGGAGTGTGCCAGGCAGCAGAAGGGAGCCGCACTAGGCCACACTGCAGGACACAGAGAAGGACAAGGCCTGTGAAGCAGAGGGGCCGTAGGCACGAGGACCACTCAGAAGACTGGCCTTCCAGCCCAGGCAGAAGTTGGAGACCGACGAGAGGGGGTGCCCTGGGACATGGCGCGGTGGTGAGGCCGGGTGGCCCAGGCCCTGCCTCAGAAGGATGTGCAGCCCTAGTGGCCAGCCTAGGGCCGGTGGTCTGGCCCCTTGGCTCAGTTGGGTCCAGTAGTTCCCCCACAGACTGTGACAGAGACTCCAGGCTTGTCAGGCGTCCAGAGGAATCAGCAGCCTACACTTGTGTTCTTGTGACTGGTGTGACAATCCTGAACAGGCAGGACTCCTCATGGTGTATGTTTCTAAATGAGCAGGCACCAGAGGATTTAAACAGTGGCTTTTATTTTCTCTTCAAAGAAAAGGCTGTGTCCAACTGAGACTCTAATCTGTACAAGCCCCCCTAGCAGCCCCAGGAGCTGAGCCCCCATCTGTAGCCAGGGGGTGCAGAGCTTTCTAGGCTGGGAGGAGGGAGCCCTCTCAGCAGATGCCCTGGCCACCCCCACCCCCCCACCATGCCTGCTACCCCCACCCCCCCACCATGCCTGCTACCTTGGTGGGGAGCAGAGGGGCCCCCCTACTGTCCCAACTCCCCAGTGGCAGAGGAGGTGACAGCATGCGGGGCAGGGGAGCGAGGGGTAGCAGGTTTGGAGTCAAGTGCCATCTCGTTTGGCCAGGCCAGAGCCTCCAGGGGAAGGGGGTGTTTGTCATTGCTTTTAGTGAAGACTTAGTTAATCGGCATGTAGAGAAGAGCCCAAAGGTCAAGTGCATCCTGACCCAAGGGCCCCAGGTCCTCGGATTTGGAGCTGGCATCAGATGCTGTCCCAGCACAGCCTTCAGTTCCACAGAGAACAAGGGGACCCAGAAGTGGGGGTGGGCTGAGGCCACATAGCAGCAGAGGAGGGGCCTTGGACCTTCTCCTTTGGATGGACCTTTCTTGGGCTCGTCTAGGGCTTTTTCAAGCAGGCAGGAGACCACGTCCTTTTCTTCCCACAATCATCAGGAGTGGACATTCTCACTGCCACCTGGGCCTCACAGCACGTTCTCTTGTGCTTTGCAGCAAATGTCTTCCTTGGTCACAGAATACATGGCCTCTCAAGGCACCCGGTTCCTGAGAGGCTGTACCCCCTCAAGAGTGCGGAGGCTCCCAGATGGCCAGCTCCAGGTTACCTGGGAGGACCTCACCTCCGGCAAGGAGGACATGGGCACCTTCAACACTGTCCTATGGGCCACAGGTAAGGGTGCGCTGAGCCCCACGTGAGCCCCACGGAGGGCAGCAACACCGCCTCCCCTTCCTGCTGTTGCCAGGCCTCCCCTCGTCCTGCTGGCTTTCGGGGTGGGGGGGGGCAGCTATCACAGCACACCTCTTGGGTCATCATAACAGCCCGTGGCGTCGTTTCCATCACCTCAGGGGGGTTGGTTTGAGCTTTGCAGGAATGGATGCCCAGCTGGCCTTTGTGGAAGTCACACTTTGCAGATTTCCAAAGATGGCATCAGTGATGGGGCAGAGGCCTTGGGCAGAATTAACCCATTGCTGACATTGCCGGACATACTCCCTCCCAGGCTGGCTCCTCCCTGCACCCCAAGGGGCAGGATGGAGAGTAGGGATGCAGTGGGGGAGATGCCTGCCCAGGGCCTGGGCCTCAGCTGGTCTGAGGGAAGGGACATGGGCTTTGAGGAAAGGCACCCTGGCCAGGAGCCAGGCGGGAAGAGCAGAGAGCTCACTGTGTTCATTGTGAGCCTGCTTGTGGTTGGGGTCTGGCCGCAGAGGGCTGACGGATTCTGGGGCCGACTGCAGCACACCTGCTCGGACATCGTGCCCACCTTGACAGCTGCATCCTCTAGGGTTGGAATCTCATTTCCCTAAGCCCCCTGCGTCTTCCTTTCTCTCGATATTTCCAGTTCGCCGGGGTCTCTCTGCGCTGAGCCCGGTCAGTTGTCCCTCCTCTGTGAACCCAGGGTTAGAATCTGTGTTGCTGTCAGAATCATCATCTGCCTCCACGTCAGTTAACCGAATGTTTGCTGAGTGCTCAGAGGGGCAGTCACGTCAGCATCTGTCAGGACCTGGTTGGCCTGGTCCCAGAATCCCCTGCAGTGAGGCTCCCGGGAGGAGCAGGGCTGCATCACAGAGCAGTGGACTTCCTAGAAGCCTCTCTGGTTTTCCTGAGTTCTCAGAACGCTTGGAAGTCAGACCATGAGATAAACTCTGGAGGAGTCCGAGCTCTTTCTTGTGTGTGGTCAACACGAGCAGATCTAAGGAGCAAGGAAAATGCCTTGCAGTTAATGTAGTGCCTCTTGCCCAGAATTTAGTAAACAACCACAGGAGATATTCTTGTTCAAATTGTGAAAGTAAATTGGAGTAGGTTTATTTTGTTGAACACTGCGAAAGATTATATAACTATTCAGATCCGGAAGCATAAATTGACATTTGTCTTAAATTCCATTCTAAAAGGTGAAATGGCAAGTTTCTCCCTTCCCATCTGCACCCCCAGCCTTTTCCTTTGTCCCCTGATATCACTTCAGGGACCCCAAACACCCACATCCCTTCTCTCGCTATTGGACAGAGGCAAACACTCATGCCCATGTGCCATCCGCTAAGCCCACGCTAATGGCAGTGGCTCAGAGGGCAAGGGGCTGTGCCGTCGGAAAGCCTCAAGGTCCGCCCAGCTTCCAGACAGGTCCCTGGTGGGCGACATGCAGGGCCCCTGGCGCACTGCCTGCCCTCCCCTCTGCAGGAGTCCGTTTTATTTTCTGTATTTTCAAAAAGAGCATCCCCCAGACAGTCTGCCCGACGTGATTGATGCTGGGGGTGGAAGCTTTCACAGTCCTTGGCCTTTGACCTTGCTCCCCGAGGCGGCGCGGCGGCGGCGGTTTCTGGCACGCCTCCTGGGGCTGTACGGGCATGTGCTGACTTCGCTGCTCGCTCCCGGGCCAGGTTTTGTAAACAATCAGGAGCCACTTCCCAGTTTAACAACTGGGAATGTTTTCTGCTGGTTTACCCCGATAAGCCTTTAACCAAGCATCATTTCTGCTCGCAATAAAGGATGATCCGATCTAGGAGGTTAAAATAAAACACCCCCCCCCCGGAGAGGGCGGGGGGCTGAAGGGCTGGCACAGCAAACAGCTCCCAGACCATACGTCCTGCCGCAGTAGCGAGCGCTGTGTGCACACAAGATGGGTTTTGACGAGTGTTAAAAACAGGAGGGGAAGGTTGCCCCTCGTGTCCAGAGGACACACGCTGAGGTCCGCAAGGAGCTTCCATGGGGCTGAGCTTGGGCCTGGCGCCTCGGTCACAGCTGGTGAGGACAGTATGCGCAGGGATGGCGAGGTGGGCCCTGCAGTCTGCAAGCCTGGGAGGACTCGGAGCCTCTTCCTCGGAGCCTCTTCCTCGGCCCAGCCTTGATCTCCACGTGGTGGATTAAACACATTAGCAGTTAAAGCAGTTAATTGCTGTGCAGGGGGCCGGCTCATTGTTTGTCTCTGAATCACCCACCCACACCAGGTGTCTCAGATAATAGACTGGGAACTCGCAGCAAGGAGGATTTCCTGTCTGCAGATGTGCCGATTACAGTGCTGAGTGAAGCCAGTCAGCCTGCGCAGCGCCGCGGGCTCGAATTCACCCTGTGCAGTTAACCAGTTGTGGCCTGAATCCTCGGCCGTCGGGGGGGGGGCGGGGGGGAGCAGGGGCAGGACGGGGCAGCTGAGGGGACACTTGCGCGTGGAAACGCTTCTGAGCTGGCGCTCAGCTGAGGTTTAGCTTCGCCTTTGTTTCGGAGGCTGGACTGGGGGCCTCTGGAGCAAAGCCCTGGGAAAGCCGGCCCCTAAAACCGTCCCGTGCCCCTCAGCGTCTCTGGCCACTAGAAAGTTTCCTGTCCCCGTCTCAAGGCAAGGGTGGAGGCTCTGGCGCATCCCTCCCTGGGCCACAGGAGTCCTGCCCATGGTCAGAAGGCCCAGACGGCTGGTGTTCCCACCATCTGGGGTGCCGAGAAGGGCTGTCCTGGCCCCGCCTCAGCAGCCCCCTTGGTCTGTTAGGAATCAGCTGTTTCTTCTTCCTCGGACTTTGTCTATTTGCCCACCTGTGTGTAAAACCCACAGATAACTTCTGAGCCTCTAAAATGGTATAGAGCCAGAAGGCACTGGGGGCCTGGCTTTCCAACTTCTTTTTTTTTTTTTTCTAAATTTTATTTATGTATTTGGGAGAGAGAGCACGGGGGTGGTGATGGTGGGAGGAGCAGAGGGAGAGGGACAGGCAGACTCCGCGCTGAGCACGGAGCCTGAAGCGGGGCTCAATCCCACCACCCTGAGATCACAACCTGAGCTGAAATCAAGAGACTCTCAACCGACTAAGGCACCTAGGCGCGCCCCCCCGGCTTTCCAGCTTCTAATCCAACCCCCATATTGAGGACCCCACTCCATGTACAGCCCACCTACACAGAGTGTGGCCATGGACCACAGCCAGGGAGGTGGTGGCATCCTGGAGACAATGAGGGGGCCTGTGGTGCCCAGGGAGTGGAGTGCATCTGCCTGGGGGGGGGCCTGCAACCCAGGGCTCCCCTCTCTACCATGGGGACTGCTGGCTCCAGTTTCCAGGAGGCCACCTTGCTCAGCTGCATTCAGCTGATGGCTCTGTGCCACAGACACCCCCCTTCGAGTCCTTGTGGAATATCCCCCCGCCCCGAGTGCCGGGTAGATCACTGGGAGCTGGGGGCAAAACGGGAAGTGAGCCCCCGAGGCTGGGCATTCATGGGCGGGGGTCTCTGAGTCCAGTACGAAGGATGGAGCAGTCCAGGGCCCCATGCCTCCTGACAGCTGTGAGAACCCAGGCTCTCCACGGCCGGTGCTGGGCTGCTGGAGACGGGACGGCAGGCAGAGCATGGGTGCGACCTTGTTGAGAGAAGCCCAGTCCAAGGCCACCGGGCCTGTTCTTTGGGCCTGTGTCTTGCTGTGGCTGTAGGAAGCTGCGTGTGGCCATGTTCTTCCCAGGGGGTACTTCGGAGTGACCTAACCACCTGTCCCACATGCAGACCCCCCGGCTCACCTAAGGCCCACCTGTCTCCGCCGTCCAGGCCTGAAGAGAAGCACTGCTCTGCTTGTGAGCCCCTCATATGCCAACACCTTTTTATTTCAGTGTAAACGTAAACGTCAAGTGTGTAACTAGCAACGTGAAGAGAGACTCAGATCTGTTTGTGTATGTGGTGTGCTTTCTTGGAGGCAAAGAGGACGTTCATGGAGCTCTTCCTGTAGGCACCTCCCACAGGCCGAGGGAAGTGGCTGGGCCTGAGACCACGGCCTTCCCCACCACACCGTGTGGCCCCTGCTTGTGAACCAGCGCCATTGACTCGGTGGCTGTCATTTGTCTCAGCTCTGGCTCACCGTGGCACCAACCCATTGCAGAGGCCAGGCAAGGGCAGTGGGAAGGCAGCACCTGGGCTAACAGACCAGCCCTCTGCCCTCTACTTGGGATGCCCTGCACCACCACAGGGCCAAGAGCAGTACCAGGCCTGCGAGCCGGCTTCTGCCTGTGTCCAGGGTCACCTTGACCCCCACAGTTCTCAGACCCAGGCCAGCCTGCCTTCGCCCTCATGGTCTTTGTACCAAGTCAAACTCAATATTTATGGTTAGAACTTGGTAGAAGCCAGTTGCTTTAAAAAAAAAAGAAGAAGAAGAAAGCCGTAGTGAAAATGCTTCTAAAGGTAAATAGGCATCGTTTTTATGCATTAATGTGCACTAGCTGAATTTTGCAAGTGCTACTGGGAGCCATCAGGCAGCAGGAAGGTTATATTGACATTTGTAATTGTTATAGCTATAATTACTACCTGCCAGGGAACGTGTTCCTTCCTGGGGGTTCCCGTGGACCAAGCTGCAGCTGGGCCCGAGCTGGAGGCTTCACCAAGTTCCAGGGCTGGCTGTGGGGGTTTAGGAGCCCATGTGAGCTTATTTTATGTGTTGTCAGTGCTGCGCACAGGCTTGGATAGGAAACGCCTATGATGTGTTTCGGAGGGGGGAGGAGGGGGAGGGATAGCGGTGAGCAGTGTCATCAGGATGGCCAGCGTGGTGGGGGGCAGTGGCAGGTGCTGGTGGTCACCGTAAGCCGCAAGCCTCAGGTCATGCTAAGGTTCACTTATTCAGCAAACGTTGAGCCCTACCTAGGCCCCAGGGCAGCAGGACGGGTCCTCTGCCCTGCTCTTGGGGGACTTAAGGTTGTGGCTAGGGTTCTGGGGCTGTTGTAGAAGGGGCCATTCGAGAAAATAAAAGGAGCCCTTTGCTGTTGTTATCCTTTCCCCTAAAGTCTCAAAGATGACAAGAGACACATAATAAATTTTTTAAAAGGTAGGCCTCGAGGGATCTGACTAGGGGTACCAAAGGTGTGAGTTCCGCCTTCTGCGTCTGGTCCGGGGTGTCCCACAGGCCAGCCTAGGGGGAGTGGCTGGCTCTGCGGGGCCACGCATGTGCCCCCCAGGAGGGGTGCCCAGGCCCTCCGTGAGCCTGCGGGAAGCTGCTGGTCCGGCCTCCTGGACCCCCATCCTCCTGGCACTCGCTGCCTCTGTGTGATCAGAGCCCCTCATTTGCTCTGTCATACTCCGGCTGACACCTAAATCTTACCTCATTACACGGATTGCCCTTCACTCGTCGGAACGTGTGCTCTAGGCAGGCGTGAAATTGGAGGGAATGCCCATTTTCCTGCATGGGGCAGAAAGAGGCCCAGGAAACTGCGTGTGTCCAGTTGTCTGTGTCCCTGGGCCCAGCTGCGCAGGTAGGAATGACCAAAGCCGCCATCTGTTGAGTCTTTGACCTCCAGCCTTCTCCAGCCTCCTCCAGCTGGCTGGGTGAGCGTGGTGGCCGGGCTGCCTCCCTGGGCCCGTAGCGGCAGCTGGTGGAACTCCAGTGCCTCAACGGGAGGGCTGGCCTGGTCTAGCTGCCCCGGGAGCTCTCAGGCTGAATGCGGCTTCCTGCACCATTTCAGGGCCCCCGGGTGTCCTGGATGCTGGGTACCATGAGGGAGGGACTGTCTTACCTTGGTGACACCGGGGATCACATGGTCCCTTAGAGGGACTGAGACCGGTGGACAAGGCTGAGCTTGGTGAGGGAAGCAGCTCCAAGGGCCCATCCACACATTTATTTGGACATCGCCTCCAAGGGGGAAGTGAGAACATGTTTGCATCTGGAATCTTAATGCCCTCGTTTGCAGTAAATATGATGGAATGTCATTCACGTATCATATGCGAAGCTCTTAGAAGGCAATCAAGTCATGGAGATATGTATAAATAAATGAAAAAAGGCAGGGAACGGGCAGTTCACAGAAGGAAATACAGCTACTGAAAACGTGGCCCAAAGTCCTTAGTTTCACTGGTAAATATATACTGGCAATCAAAGAAGGGGAAATTATAACATCGGCTGGAGGGAAAGAGCAAGCCCCAGAAGGAGCCTTCCACCCAGGCGCAGCTCCCGGCCCTGGGCCGGGGAAGCCCCACCTGGCTGGCTGGCCTTCCTCTGAGGACTGTCCCAAGGAACTAAACCAACATGTGGACAGACTGCCATCCCCATCCCCGTGTGTCCAGGGAGCAGAGATGCGGGAGCCAATCCAGGGAAGCCATTCAGCAGCGCTGGCAAACCCGAGCTGGGTGCCAAAGAGCCGAGGCCCCAGGGAGCAAGAGATCCCACAGGGCATGGAGCAAATGGCTTGCTGGGGGTGTGGAAAGCACCATGTGCGACATACAGGGTGATGTACCTGGGCGGGGGGTGCCATGGAGGCACCCATCTCCCCAAATCACCTGAGGAGTCCTACCTTTGTTTTTGCATAAGAGGAAAATGGTGAGGGAGAAGACTTTGCATGTTGCCTGGGTCTTGCTTCTGGCCATGTACGTCTGACTTGGACTGGGCATTGTCCATGGGACCAGAGCTGCCCTGCTTGCATGGCTGGCCACTGGGTCCCCACCCTAGCACCCATGCTCTGCCTTCCTTGGGGGCTCCAGGCCTGAGCTGAGGGGGGCCCCACACCATCTGACTGGGCCACCAGCACCTGTGGGGAGACATGACTCTGCTCTGAGCACAAGGCAACAGAACTTTGAGGGTCATGGGGTATGTCTGTCCCTCCTCCATGACCCTTATCCAGGTTGTTGGCTCAGTGAGGCCCACCTCCCGGCTGTGGCCCCATGGAGCTGGCGGGGCCTACCACTGCTATGGGGCATGGCCCACAGAATGGGGTGCCTGGGTGGAGCTGGGCCCCCTGTCGACCTCAGGCCTCCCTCACACATGCCCTGCCAGCATGGCTTCCAAAACCCAAAGTGCCCATGGCTGCCCTTTTAAGGCTGTTTCTGACTGTTTGAGGCAGCCTCTCTCTTCCTTCACTGTTCATTCCAGAAGCATCGATGGAGTGCCTTCCACAAGTTGGGCATATTCTGTCTACCCCCACTGCTGTTACTCCTTTTAAATTTATCTTTATATTCTTTGAGACCTTGGATGTGGTTAGACTGACATCTGTGAGGTGTGTGGTTACCGTAGAACACACAAGGAAACACTCCTGGCCTCCCAGGACCGGCCGGGCAGGAGTGCAGTGTGGCCAGCGTCAGAGCGGAGTGGTCTGCAGGCAGCCAGCTTCGTCCTCGGATGCTCCAGCCTTGGCCTGGAGTGATCGATCGCCAGGAGGTCGTGGGCCTGGCGAGCTGTTGTATGCCCTGCTCCCCAGAACCGGGAGTCTGGGGAGGAGCCTGAGGGCTCAGCTATGAGTCCCCTGCCTGCAGGGACTTTCTCAGCCCACCCAGCAGACCCCCACCAGGCCTGCCCACTGGGCGCATCTCCTTCCTTGCTGAGGCCCAGCACCTTCCAGTCCCTTCCTAGGTGCACAAGAGCTCCCAGGCGCCAGCTGGATCCCCTTCTCAGGAATCAGGCCTGGGCCCGCACGCTGCCTCCTCCAGGCAGGACACTGGCCAGCATGCCCTGTTGCGCCCTGCATGCTCATGCATCTCCGTTCATGTGACTAGGGCCGGCGTCGGTGGCGTCAGGAGGCAGGGACCTCTAGAGCCTCATGTCGCGTCGCGTCGCCGGTGTCTGGTATTCTGGGCGATGGGTGTCAGCCCGCCCAGCACCTGATTCCTGCGGCCAGGCAGAGTGAAGAGGCCGGAGCCCGCTCCCCATGAACTTGAGAAGCACGGCTTAGTCGAGTCTCTGTGTTTTGACTTCCCACTCTGGGACAGCAGCTGGAGACTTAAGGTTTCCCTTTCACAGGACTTGGTCTTCCAGATGTTCAGCCTGGTACCACCCACTACCCGATCTCTTGTGTATCTGAGCCACCATGAGCTGTGGGAACTGTGCCTTTGACACTGTTCATCTTTGCCTTCAGGGCATTCCGGGAGCCCCAAGGGGCTGCCACTGCCCTCCCAGGGCCCAGCAGGATGAGCTGCCTTTGCCACCCCTTGGCTTAGTGAGGCCACATTATCTGAGTTAGGGGACAAAGGGACCTCTGCTGGCAGCTCAGCTGTGACAAGGCCCAGGGCTGGAAGCGTGTGAAGCCTGGCAGGGAGGCTGGTGCCGCCATGCCCAGCCCCTGCTGGCTTTGCACCCCAGAGTTTCTCATCAGGATTAGCCCAAATGACTGCACCCAAGGATGGCTATGGTGTGTGGTTGGGGCTCTGCCTTTCTGTCCGTCTCTAGGGGTCTCTGAGCTGGGGATGTCTGCTGGCCAGGTGCCACGAGAGGAGGAGCTAAGGGCTTGGAGTGTGGAGCTGGCCAAGGCCGGGCCTCTAGCCCCACTTGCTCAACCCCTGCGCTGGCTGCCCTGAGACCCCGAGCAGGGCTTAAGTCCATGCATTCTCGCCGCCTGCTCTGGAGGATGTCTGGCTGCCCAACTTTGGGGACACAAGGCCACAGCCTATTCACACAGAACCAATCTGATGGCAGGAGAGAAGTGTAAATCCACCACAAAGCACCATCCTGAGTTTGAGCCTGCAGGAAAAGCAACCTGTGGGAAGGTGGGGAATCTCGGGGTCACGGACGGAGTGGGAGGGAAGGACCACGTGGGGACTCAGCAGGCTGTCGGCTCACTTGGGGCCCACAGGCACGCTCCACAGAGACTGAGACACACACACGCACACACCCCGGCCCCGCTGGAAAATGCAAGCAGAGGGCGGGAGCCACAGTTTCTGTGAGAGGCCCCGGGTGGTGTATATTCCGTGTCTTCCCCTCAGGGCCCGATGCCTGCAGAGGCTGCAAGGCCCTGTCATGTTGTGTCTGCAGCTGTGGCTGTGGTGACCTTTGATCACGCTCTGCTGTGTCCACAGGGCATCCAGGCCTGAAGTGGGCTGCCTCCCCAGAACCTGCCCCTGTGGTGGGGAAGCACTGAGGTCACCGTCCAGCGATGGGGCGTGCGTACTCTTGGGTCGTCGCTACTTGTAGACATTTTCTGTGGTCAGAGCCACAGGAAATTTGTACTGAAAAAAAAAAGACTCAGTGAATTTCCAATTCAAATTTGACTTTACGAGGTTTTAACTATCTTCTTCGAATGGCATGTAAGATCTGTCTGCAGCTTTATTGTTAGGATATAATCGTCTTAGGACGTGCAGTGGAAATATGGGTTGCCGTAGTCTCCTGAGCGAATTATCTTTGTATATGCTGGGTTATCAACTGCATATAATTAGGCCCATTTGTTTCAGATTATTTACAAGTTATGGGGACTTTTTTTTCCATTTTTATTTTTTGTTGTTTGAGTATATGAAATGTACCTGATTTAAAAAATCAAAATTGTATCATGGGATGTGTTTAGAGAAGTCTTGTCCCCATCTCTGCTTCCTCCACCCCTTTCCCTTCCTTTCTGTTCCTCTTCATCCTGCTTCATCCTCTCATTGATTCTTTGTGCAAATAAAGGTGTGGGGGTGTATGCATATATGTTCGTGTGTGCGTGGGAGGCTGCAGAGGCCGGGAGCCCCTAGACGTTGTCGCACTTGATGTTTTACCAATTCCAAGTGGGCATGCTGAGAAGCGTTCTGAATAAACCAAGGAATCTCAGTCGGAACTGCCTAAAGTCTTTCAGCCTTGCTCTTTATTTCCTTCAGGTCGAATTCCAGAAACCAGAAGTCTGAATCTAGAGAAGGCTGGAGTAAACATCAACCCCAACAGTCAGAAAATCCTGGTCGATGCTCAGGAAACCACCTCCGTCCCCCACATTTATGCCATCGGAGATGTAGCAGAGGTACGGCCTGCACCTGCCACCTGGCCTCACCACCCCATCCCCCCACCCCAGCTGGGCCTTGGGAACCTAACGAGGCTCACAGAGGCTCTGGGCCAAACCCCAAGTACTGTTAGACTGAAGTTCTGGGAAGGATTGGGTACCAGCCTCTGCTTGCTCGAATGTTCCTCCTTTCTATGGGGCGTAGGGGGTGGGGAAGGCTTAAAAACTAAAAGCACCATCAACAAATTCCTCTTGTGCACCTCCCCATATGTCAGCTCTGAGGGAGGGACATCTGTTTGCACACAACATGGGCCTCGACTTCCTGAAGGTGGGCTGGAGGTACAGAGCCCTAGAAATGCTGCTGCTGGGCAGAGCCTTGGGGCTATCTGGCCCTGCAGCACTGGGCCTGACTTCCTCGCCTCAGTTTATCCTCTCATCTGTGGAGGGGTCAGTACTTTCCCAGACTGGGCTGTCAGACAGGGACACAGCCCTACTCACCAGGCCTCCCTGCTCCTCCCCTTGTGAGCCCTTGGCGGAAGCCCTGCCCCCAGCCTGGGATGCATCTGGTCGGCGCCCCTCCCCTCTTCATGGCCCCATCAGGGCTGGTCAGCCGTGGGACCCCCACATTCCCAAAGCCTCAGGAGCAGTCTGCCTGTCCTGTACATGCGCAGCATGGCCTAAGGAAGGTGGCTTGGGAGGGGCCCTGGCCAAAGGAGCCTGAGAGATGCACCAGACCCTCCAGACCCCAGGAGGCCTCTTGGTGGCCAGTCCTGCCAGTGTCATGGACATGTTAGTTTCCTGGGGCTGCCATTACAGATCACCACAGGCTGGGTGGCTTAGACTGACAGAAATGTATTCTCTCACATTCTGGGGGCCAGAAGTCTGTGTGGGCAGGACTCTGCTCCCTCCGAGGCCTCTAGGGGAGGACACGTCCTCATCTGTCAGGCATTCCAGACTTGGAGCTGCCCCATCCTCTGCCCGTGTGTGTGTGTGTGTGTCCTTGTTTCTTTCTTCTCAGGACCCTCATTGGATTTAGGGCCCACCCTAAGTGACCAGTCCTAAATGATCTCAATTCTTTCCTTAATTATATCTGCAAAGAGCCTCATTTCCAGTCCCATTCTGAGGTTCCAGGCAGATGTGAATTTGGGGGATGCTGTTAAACCCACCATGATGTGTTCTGGCACCAGCCACTTTTCTGGGTTCTGGCTGCTGCAGGAACAGACAAAAGTCTTAGCCCTCGTGGTGACATTCTGGTCGGGGTCACAGAGGACAAGTGAGTGGCAGATGTCAGAAGATGCTTAGTGCGGCGGTCAAGGAGACCTGAGGGAGGAGCAGAGTGAGGCAGAGGCCCAGGCGAGCTCAGCGAGGATGCTCACGCCTACCCAAGAGTTCAAGCACTGCCCTGCCCACGCACACCCCAGACCCCACTTTGGGAAATGCCTGGGGGTAAGGGGAGCCAGTATCTACGGCAAGTGGGTCCCTGAGTGGGGCATCCCGGAGCTGAGGGGGTACGGGTGGCAGTTGTCCCCAGTGCTACGGGACCATCCCTCCCTCAGCCTCTGCTGCAGCTCATGATGGGTGGGTCTGCCGGAGAGCTTGGCACACTCGTGGAGACGGATCAGGGCAGGAGGCCGTGAAAGGCTGGGCCTTCCCTTTGTTCCTGAGGGGCCAGCCTACCCATCTGGCACAGGTCTGTCCTGCAGACACTTGACTCCATACAAACCCCTCCTGTTAGGACAACATGGCCTCTGCTGTGCCCATTGTACCAGAAGGGTCACCCACTCGCCGTGGTCAGTGCTGACATGTGAGCCAAGGGGCCGCCACTCGAGTCCCTCAGGCTGCCCTTGAGCCCAGGCTCATGAAATGGTGCATGGGGAGCAGACCACCAACTGGAGGCAAGACCGCAGATACAGCTTGCTGGGGCATGTGGTCAGAGCTCCGGCCCCTCCTCCCACTGAGTCCCCTCTGACCATCTAGTTGACCTGCTGGTGTGGACGGAAGTGAGTGGCTTCATGTGCCCGCTAGACCGGGCAGCATTGCTGCTCGTGTGATCTGTGGCAGTGGGGACGTGGCACTCTGCCGTGGCACCTTCGGTGTTCATCGTGGGCGCTGCGGCCCGAGATAGCACTCGTGGTCCCAGGAGGGAGTGCCGCTAGTATTATAGCGGACTTTCTGCGGGCCCCAGGAGCCAAGTGAGGCGGAGAGCCATCAGCAGCAGGGCTCATGCTGACATAGCGGAAACCATAGTATTTCAGACTGTGTTGCCAGAAATAGTACACACAAAGGCGATGTCTATTGAATTATTAAATCCACTCGGTTGGAAAGGTCGTTCTGGGCAGTCCAAAGAGTTAACACCCAGTGGTCCGGCGTGAGGTGCGGAAGAGTCCAGCAGGCGGGCGGGGCGGCCATTGTCTAGTGCCATATTGTGTGCTGTGCGCATGGACGTTTCCACAGTTAGTCAGGCCCGGTGGAATGCATGGGCTGCTTTCACAAGTTTATCTCTGCGGATCTCTATTCATTTCTGGAATGTCAAACAACATCTGCATTTCCTGCTGCTGCAGAGGTGATTGGCAGCCAGTCCCAGGCCGACGCGTGTAGGAACACTGGGGGCCGTGCCACCCCCCGCTCCAGGAGCGGGACACACCCTGGGACGGAGGGGCCTCCAGCAGCACGGCATTTGGATTGCGACTTGTAATGGACTGTGACGTGCAAGCCAAGCTGTGTGTCAGGAGCACATGAAATGCTTCCAGGGCCCGCTTTAGCCTGCATCCTGGTTAATGCAGACGATTGAATAGGAGCGGGATCTCCTTGGAGCTCTGTCATGAGGGCAGCTCTCCAAGGTCACCAACATGAAGAAGAGGTTCAGAGGGAAGCCACAAGCGAGGGTGGGTGGTGTGGCTGGGCTCACTGGCAGCTCACCTGCTCTTCCAGGGAAGGGGGCCATAAGCACAGCTGTCTCCCTGGTGCAGGGCAGGGGGAAGAAGCAGAACAAGCAAACCTGTCCAGGGCCCTGGAGCCCAGAGACAGACAGCCTTTGGGGGTTTCGGAAAGGGAGAAGCCTCCCTAGGAAGGCATGGGTGGTGGCAGGGATCCTGCACAGACTCCCCCAGATGTGCCAAAGTAAGCCTGGGCTCCTTCCGTGCATCAGGGGCGGCCCGAGCTGACACCCACGGCTATAATGGCAGGAAAGCTCCTGGCCCAGCGGCTGTGCGGTCAGTCCTCAGACGTGATGGACTACGACAATGTGAGTACCCTCTGCCCTCCAGCACGCTGCATCCCGGAGACAGCTGCAGCTCTTCCGGGGCGGGGCGGGGCGCGGGGGTGTGCATGCACGTGCGCCCGTGTGTGAGGGTTAGTTTTGTGGGTGTGGCCCCGGAGCAAGTGAGGGCGCCCCCCACCCCCTCTCGCAGGCTGCCAGCCAGCACGTCCGGGGACCTGGCCTGAGCTTCTTGCTCTCTGGGCCCCAGAGTGGGGATCTTCAGCGCTGGGTCCCCAGGGGGGTACGTCACCTGGGACCTGTTTTCCAGGTCCCCACGACAGTCTTCACCCCGCTGGAGTATGGCTGTGTGGGGCTGTCGGAGGAGGAGGCCGTGGCTCGCCACGGAGAAGAGCATGTGGAAGTAAGTCAGGGCCCCGAGGACAGAGGGGTGCCAGGATGTGATGCCTGTGCGGCTCTCACGCCCTGACAACAGCCCCTGCCCGACAGAGGCCTGGCGGGCGAGCGGGAATGTTGGTGTCCCTGCTTCCCAGGGCCTGCAGTTTGGCAGGGTGGGGCAGGGGCCCGGAGGGATGGCTGAGATATGGCCTGAAGGGACACATGGGACGGGAGTGCTGGAGGACAGGCCCAGAAACCAGGGCCCCTTTGCGGTGCGGCCCCTCACAGGGCCGTGCGTCTCCCTCCACCTGGAAAGGCTTCTCCTGCCCTCCAACCTTCTGCCATCAGCTTCCGCTCCCCACACCTGCCCCCAGCCCTGCCACAGCCCGGCCCTGCCCTCAGGTACCCCCACCTCCCTGCCACCCCTGCCTCTGTTCCCAATCCACAAGTCATCCAGCTCTCACAGGCCCCCAACAGCCCAGACTTAGGGACTCACCCCAGAGGAAGCCTGCTTCTTGAGTCCGCTAAGCGGGCCTGCCTTGGCCCTGGGGTGGCCCCCGAGGGTACCCCTGGTGGCCCGGCAGGATAGGGGAGCTGGAAGCCTCCAGCATGGCTTCGTCTTGCTACTGCAGCAGCTTGCACACAGACGGGGAGAAACTAGACCCCGTGTGGCCACCACTGCGGGCCTCGTGCCCTTTGAGAATGAGTCACTGGGCTCCAGGGCCTGCCCCTTGCCCCAGTGCCCCGGTCCCCTCCATCAACAGGCCAGGCCTGACAGGCCAGCCTTCCCTCCAGCACTTTATTTGCTATTTTTGTTTGATTCATCACAAGTACGTGGGGACATATGTTCATGGCATTCTATAATGTTGTTTTATGTTTCACGATGTTGAATGGCCACATACCCTTTGTTTGTTTTCTTTTCAATTCTGTCTTAGTTAGAACAATATTCGCTGAAGTTCCATTAATTAATAATGGCTGTGCAGCACATGTGAGGGCCCCGCTCATTTTTTACTCGGCCACAGCCCCGAACACGCTGTCGAGCCCTTCTCGGGTGCTGAAAGCCTTTGGCCGACAGCTCCGGTGTGGGCCGGGGGCCTCCCCATGCCTGCCTCCCGCTCCTTGCTCAAATGAGGGCCCATCCAGCACCAGGGTACTCTGGGGAGGCCAGATAGCCACTGGGTGGGCCGGGCGCCCCCTTCCGCTGCCCGCAGTCACCCCATCCACCCCCTAGCGTCCACCTGGTGTGGACTCCGGGGGGCTGAGTCTCGGGCTCTGTGACAAGACCTACGTCTGGCTGCGCTTAGCCAATCTGGTGCCCACTCTGTTGCTGTGGTCCATCAGGGCCTTGCCGGGGGGGAGGGGAGTTCTGTCCTGCAGACGGTGTGGCTCCAGCCCCAGGCTGGCTTTGTGTGGGAGGGAGAGCTCAGCCATGTCCTTACCGCAGACCACAACCTGTAGGCCATGTGGGCAGCTCTGGGTCCCCGCCCCATCCATGCAGCCCGTGAGGCTACTGACCGCAGGAATCGGTATCTTGTCACTTAGGTTTATCATGCATATTATAAACCGCTGGAGTTCACAGTGGCTGAACGGGATGCATCCCAGTGTTACATAAAGGTAAGTGTCCTCGAGGGCCCAGGGCCGGGCCATGCCAGGAGGCGAGAGGCAGGGAATGAGCTGGCGCCCAGGGGTGGGGAAGCTCCCTGCAACCACATGGGCCTCCCGGGGCAGGGCCGCCTGTGCAGCCCCGGGGCCCCGTCTCCAGCCAGGCTGGCCATTGACGATGTGGCTTTCAGATGGTGTGCCTGCGGAAGCCCCCACAGCTGGTACTGGGCCTGCACTTTCTCGGCCCCAACGCAGGCGAAGTGACTCAAGGATTTGCTCTGGGGATCAAGTAAGTGCGGAGGAATGTCGATGTGGCGCGCTGCTCGGGCTCATGTGGCTCTGACAGTTGGTGGCGCCACGGTGGGAAGTCTGCTGCTGTGGTGTGGCATTTACAGAGCATCCTACGTGTGTTCAGCAGAGCATCTCCTCAGACCCAGGAGCTCCCATCACGTGAGAGGCAGCTTTCTTTTCCAACCAAACGCTCTTAAGCCAGTCATACCATGTCAGTCTGTGGCTGGGCCACCTGGGGAGCAAGGGGAGAGGCCCATGTCCCTGGCCACCAGGGGTAGGTCACAGTTTGGGTCTTCTCTTGTTAGAATGAGCAGGGCTGGGGCCCTCCTTCACGTGGCCCAGCACCCAGGCAGTCATGAGCAGGGTCTGCAAAAGCTGCCCCAGGACCGGCGTGTGCTTTCCGGAGCTGGGTCTTGGGCATAGGCTGTGCTTTGGTGGATCTCGGGTCCCCAGGCTTCCTGGAGCCTTTGTGGATGGAGGCTCTGGGTGGGGGTGGGTTGTCTGGGGCAGTGGGGTGTGGGGCTGTCAGAGGCAGGAGGGTGGAAGGTGAAGTAGGGCCGAGGGAGCAGAGAAGGGCTGCACGGGCCACCCTACCATGTGTTTGGGGCTTGGGGCTGAGGCCGAGATCCAGCCGCAGAGGTTGGTGGAGGTAGGAAGTCAGAGGACAGGGCGGGAGCCCGAGGGGCAGGGCCCATACCGGGAAGACCGATGGGGGCTGTGGCACCCCAGGCTTCCCAGCAGGTAATGATACTAAAGACAGGACAGAGCCAGTAGAGACTTAGAGAACATGAATGGGCAATTCACAGGCAAAGAAAATTTAAATGAATGGTAGAAAGACGCTGTGCCTCATTTGGAATTTTTCATGTAATTAAAACACCAAGAAACCATCTTGGTCAGTGAAGGTTAAAAGGTTTGATACTGTCCAGTCTGGTGGTGATCATTTCCAGCATCTGTAGTAGAGACACTGAAGGTTTGAGCAAATCAGTGGAGTGAGGAGACCCATGTTCTGACACACTCAGGAGGAGGGTGTGAACTGGACCCTCCCTCTGGGGGCCTTCTGCCCACAATTTGAAACGCACACACTTGTTCGTGTCGGGAACTCACACACCAGATATTCTAACGTGTGCGTAGACAGAAGAAGGGCTGTTTGTTGCAGCCTTGTCTGCGGATGGTGGCAGCGCCCTGTGGGGAGTCCTCACTCACTGTGCCTCCGAGGAGGTGACCGGTGCCCCGTGGGTGGTCTCTGCCGCAGGGGCAGGGGGCGTGTGTGTGGGAAGTGCTGGGTGCTGAGCAGAAGAGCACGGTGAGCAGGACCAGGCAGGGGGCTGCGCAGGGGCAGGCTGCAGTAATCGAAGTGGGCTCCGTCTCACTGGGGCAGGTGGGGAGAGGGAGCAGACCCACAGAAGGAACAGCTGGAGCCGTGGGCCAAGGTGGGTCAGCGCCTGGTGGGCTGGGAGCAACAGGAAGCCAGATGAGGGGTCGGGGGAAGGTAGGAGCTGGGCCTGAGGGGGCGCTGCTTGGCATTTGCTGGGAGACATGTGGGACAGGTCCAGCAGAGGTGTTGGTGGTGTTGCTGGCTGCTGCTGGAGAAGAGAGGGTAGGGCCCAGGGCTGGGGAGCAGGGAGGAGACTGTGACTTCCAAGGCCATCCCCATGTGCCACCTTATGGGGGACAGGATGATGTGGACATGCCACCCTGCGCTGACTCATCGCCTGAACCCCCCATCCCCCTGTGTGCAGGTGTGGGGCCTCCTATGTGCAAGTGATGCGGACGGTGGGCATTCACCCCACCTGCGCCGAGGAGGTGGCCAAGCTGCGTATCTCCAAGCGCTCGGGCCTGGACCCCACTGTGACAGGCTGCTGAGGCTAAGCAGCCATCCCTGCCAGACCAAGGGCACGCGGCTCACCTGCAGCCCCCCACAGCCAGGTTCTTCGGAGGCTCAGAGCCAGGTACACAGCTGGGGTAGGCTCTGTGTTTAAAGTTGGAACCGTGGGGGAAGGGGGGGTGCCACTGTGAACAACTCTCTCCAGGTACACGGGAGACCACACCTGCCGTGCCACCTCATGGGAGCCCTGTGCCCAGGCTGCAGGGGCTGAAGAAATGGGGCTGGGAAGGAGGCCATGTGAGGGGCCCCCCCTCCACAGGGTACCCCCAGCCGTTGGCCTGGCTGCCAGTGCTCCCCAGATGCAGGAAATGTCTTGAGGCTGGGCTCACACCACAGTGGCCTGTCCTGGGGGTGGAGGGGGGACACTGGGTGTGGAAACCATCCCCTGGCTGAGCTCAGTAGGCTGCTGGGTAGGAGGAGCAGGCCTCCGTCTCCAGCTTAGCTCCGTGCAGAGCAGCGCCGGCTCGTTTCTCTGTCGCCCAGAAGGTGGACACGCTGCCTTGTGCACGGCGGCCGCGCACACCTCTGGTTCTGTTAGAGCTTTGCAGAGTTAGGCTGGGCGGGCAGCCGGTGGAGGCCTCAGGTCTGTTCATCCCAACCCTCTTCTGCGGGGGAAGAAGTTAGCGAGTCCCTCCCTGACCCCTGCCCAAAGGTTGCATGTCGTCAGGGCCTATTCAGCTGGTCCTGTGAGAGCATTCTCCAAGCTTCAGCAGCCCAGCCTGGGGGGTCCCTTGTGGCTGTCAGCCCCTGCCGGGGTTGGGGTCCTGAGGGCTGAACTAGACTATAGACAGAGCACTGAGCACCCCACAAGATGCCCTCAAGCAGGCCTGAGGGGCTGAATGGCAGGTAAGGGTCCCCTGGATTTGGGCACAGGCCTGGGGCTTCTCTTGGGGCACCCTGGGCACCTGCTCTACTGCATCCCCCCAGCCAGGGCTGCCCTTGATATGAACAAAGAGAGGGCATCCTGAGGAAACCCTTACCAGAATATCACACCTAACAGAGCTGTTTTGTCAAGAGCCTGCTGTAAATTTTTATCCTTTCAAAATACTTGTTGATAGTGCGGCATGCGTTCTCTGAGACACATCAGTCTGGTGAGGGCGGGGCTCTCTCTGGGGCCCGTTTCTCATCTGTCCCTAGAGAATCCTTGTGTGAGGGCATGGGAGACATGGCCAGGCAAATGCAGGGATGGCGGGACTACCCCATGCTGACCCCCTCATTCTTGTAGGACGCCGGAGGCTGAGCCCAGGCAAGCCTCACCCCCGTCTGGAGAGCCCCTGAGGTAGTCGGCGTGGGTGGCCTCTGCATGGAGTGCTCACGTGCCCCCGCAGGGATGGCTCCAGGGGTCTTCAGCCCCTGCCCCTCGCACACCCTCCTGCCTGGGCCAGCCCCACCAGGCCCCTGATGCCAGAAGATGACGGTGTGCGCAGAAACCCACCCTGTGGGCTGCCCACGTCCGAGCCCCCCTGGCGTTTCTGGAGCGTAAATAAAGAGGGTGTTTTCCTGATGTGTGCCCCCGCCTATGCTGTCCCCAGCGCGCCCCCCGGGATGGCCCAGGTCGGGGTGGGGCCTGGCCGCCCAGCCTGTCGCACACACTCCGTTCCGCCTCCCCTCACAGCAGAGCCACCCCTCCCAGGACCCTCTGCTGGGTCTGTCTGCGCCTCACGGCAAGGCAGGCACTCAGGAGGGGTGGGAAGCCACTGGCTTTGTTCCAGAGTAACCTGCCGGTGGGGTGGCCCAATGACAGGAGTTGGCAGGGGTGTTGGAGGCTTTCCGTCCCCTGAATGTCAGGTACCTCATTACGCTTCCATTGCGGCCCTCCCAGCCAGCCTGTCTGCTGTGCTCAGGCTAATCCTGCACATTGAGGCTTGATGGGCCGAGGGAGCGCCCTTCGGCACCCGGCCGCACCTGTCAGTCATTGCCACAGCCAGCGCTGACAGTGAAGGGCAGGGCCCTGCATTGTGCTGGGGCTTTAGCGGTGGTTAATCTCGTGTCTTCCTTAAGAAAACATCACTTAGTCTGCCCTCCCGGGAGCCCTGGATGGGACCCTGCTTGTCAGCGAACAAAGGAACGTCTTTGCACCTAATGGGCCTACGGGAGCCTCAGACACTCACTTGCCTGGTGCGAAGCGTGTGCAGGAGCTCCGAGACGCCCAATTAAGACGCCGAGTGCAGGGCTGGGCCAGCGCCCTCTTGACAAGTGCAGTGCCACATCAGCCGTGTCCCATTTAACGCACGGTTGGCGGCACACCCCTGCCTGGGAAGGTGCAGGGAGGGCTCCCCTCTATGCTGGGGGTGAGGTGTTCCCCTGCCTTGCAGGCAGAGGGTATGGTCTGCAGAGGTCAGCTAACACAGCTGAGCTGCTGGGGGGTGGCCGGAGAGGCCCCCTGGAGCTGGCCTGGGCCCCTGCCATGGAACAAGGAACTTGAAGTGGTTCTGTTGCTTTTTGCGATGGTAGAAACGATGCAGTCTGTGTGGGAGCTCACAGCATCCGGCAGTGTCTGGGGCGAGGACCTTCCACCTCCCTGCCCACCCCACCGGACAGCCAGAGTGCCAGCCCCATGTCCATGACCTCATAACCACCCACCCCCAGTGGTTTTCTCTGTGCACCATCTCCCTCGGGGTGGCCCTTGCTCTAGCACACCTGCTGAGTCCGTAATGACCACTCCTGCATGGGGACTCACGCCTTCCCAGCCTGCTGCACAAACAGCGGGCATTCCCAGAGAAGGCCTGCCACAAAAGGCCCAGCGCTGGCAACGGTCATCACCCGGGCCACCTCCGGGGCCATACGCTGTGTCAGCCTATGCCTGCCTGGCCATGTAGTTCCGCACCCAGGATGTCCCACATGCCCCCACTGCTCTGGTGGAGCCCCGGGGTGACAGCCCAGGGTCCCCTGCCCAGCACTCAGGCAGGTCATGCACTGGGGTCTCAAGTCTGAGTAAGAGCATGGGGAGCGGGGCAGACGTGTTGGGCCACAGTGGTTTCTGTTCTGCGTGTCCCAGGGACCACCCAGGTCCAGACTCACTGTGTGGCCCAAGGCCCCCTCCCTGGGCCCACCTCTGCCCTGTCCCCCTCCTCCCAAGGAGCTCAGGGAGGGGCCAGAGCAGCACCAGCCAGGTGCTCTCCACCTGGCTCCAGGGCTACCTTCCTGCCACCTTTGCATGTTTTTATGGCGCAATGAAAATACGATTTTAGGGCGCCTGGGTGGCTCAGTCGTTAAGCGTCTGCCTTCAGCTCAGGTCATGATCTCAGGGTCCTGGGATTGAGCCCTGCATCGGGCTCCTTGCTTGGCGGGGTGTCTGTTTCTCCCTCTCCCTCTACCTCTGCCCTTGCTCATGCTCTCTCTTTGTCTCAAATGAATAAATAAAACCTTTAAAAAAATATTTTAATTCCTCAGATTGTTCCATGTAACCTGTAATTACCCCGGCAATGTCCCGCACGCTTCTGCTTATGACTCCAGATTTCACAATGACGTTGGCTGGGGCGGGGAAGTGGTGCTGCTCAGGGGCCATGCTACCCCATGCCTTGCCTCCGCCTCTGCTGCAAAGCAGGGCAGGTCACCCTGTGGTCACCCACCACCCCTCTCCTTCTCCTAACCCCGTGAGGCACTGTCTCTAAAGGTCCTGAAGCCCCAAGGAAGGTGAGTATACAGGGAAGGGGTGAGAAGTTACTATGGAGGGCTGGACCCGGACCAGCAGGGCTCAGCAAGCGAGGAGCAGGCTGGGCCTGAGGAGGATATCTGGGACTGATGGTGGGGCTGCAAGAGGGGCATCAGCCCACAGGTGGCAGCCCAGATGCTCAGCCTGCAGGCCTTCAAACTCTCCACAGGTCGCTGGTGCCTGCTGCCCCCACCCCCGCCATACCCCACAGCCCTGCTGGGACCACCAGCTTTGCTGGGTAGCTAGTGGGGAAGTGACCACTGTGCCCAGCCAGGGGCCCTCACAGGGGGAGTTGCCCCATGAAAAACAGCTTGGCGTCAGGTGGCGCCTGCAGTTCAGGGTGTCAGTGCCTGTGGCCTCAGGTCTGGGCCCTGGACCAGTCCCCAGCCTGAAGCAGGCCCCAGGGGCAGGACTGAGACCCTCGCCCCTGGCTCCCCGCTGCATACAGAGTTGTCAGGAGCTGCCACAGAGCAGGCGGTCCAGGACCCTGTAAAACAGGACGCCCGAGTCAGCCAGACAGTGTGCTCGTCGGGAGCTGTGCCATCTCCAGAGACTTAGGGGCCACCAGGCCATGTCACTGAGCCCTCCAGACCTTGTTCAGGGCCCCAGGCACCTGGCCCATTCTGGTCAGGGGGCTCCCTTGCAGCGTGGGCTCATAGCATTCACGGGAAGCACAGACGTGGGCATCTAGCTCTTCCAAGTCCGTCACGAGAGGCTCCTCGGTGCTGGGCTGATGGTCGGGGGCCGGGCCAGGGTGGGGGCCGCGCTGCCAGGGCCCATTCCTGTCTCCCCAAGCTGGCACACTCAGATCCAGCCAAGTCTCCCGGGTCCCAGACTTTTCCCACCCATCTCTGTCTCCCTCTGGGAGCCACTCCACCCCTCTCCACTGTGGGGTCCCTGAGTGCCCCTGGCCCGGGCCATGGCCTCGTCCTACACAGCCTGACGAAGCCTGCCCTGGCCTCCACCCACCCACCTTCTTCCTTGTCAGTGTCCACTGCTCCCATCCTTGGGTCCTGGTCAGGGTGTACACAGGGGACATTGTCACTGGTCACTGCCACAGACAGGTCAGGAGCATGGCCCCCATTCCCCAGGTGAGCAAGCAGCAGTAGGGTGTTCTCTGTCTGAACCAATTCTTGACCCAGATGGTGAGGGTGCTTGCATGCTTGGCAATATCTGGGGCCTAAGCTGGGCCTGCTGGCTCCTGGGGGCGGGGGGGGGGGCCCAGCCTCAGAGGAAGATGCTTGCTTCTGGCCCCAGACTCACAGGCTGTGGATCTTCGGCCTGACGTGGGGCCGTGGCTTTTTCCTCACCTCAGGCCAGGGCAGAGACAAGAACCAGGGACAGGGCAGGGGATATAGTCATCCCAGCACAGGACCAGGTGTCCCTCCAGTGGAGCCACCTCAGGCCTGA